AGGAGCCCGAGGTGCTGCAGCTGCCAAACTTCCCCTCCTCCCTGTGCCACGGGGGGCTCTGGGGCTCGTTTCACTGAAATTCCCTGGTTTGGGACAGAATTTGGGAATGCTGAAGGTGCTCCAGGTCAGAACATAACCAGCTCTGCAGTCATGAAATGGTTGAAACTGAAAAAGACCTTTAAGGTGATCAGGTCCAGAGTGATGCTGGGTTTGTTGTTATTGGGAAGCTGGAGGGGATTGGAGTAGGATTTTCCCTGTGAAAAGGCTGATTTTTGGTATTTTGAATCCATAATCTGTGAACTGTTGCCGTGAAGCTCAACTCTGGTTGTGTTGTTTTCCTGATAAATGGGAAGTGCTTAGTGGGATAATAATGGTTCAAGAGCGTGGGAAAAGCAAAAATGCTTCCAGCAGTTGGAAAATTTGGGATTTGTGTGGCTGGCTGTGATTTAAAGGAATGATAAAAAAAAGTGGGAATCTGAGGGAAGGCTTCTCCTTTGTCACCTTGGGATGATTTGGTTTCACTTGTCCCTGGTTTATTATTCCATGGGCACAGATCCCTGGGCAGTGGGAAGTGTGAAAGGAAACAAAGAAGCTGGGTATGGGCTGAATCCTGACAGTTTGGGGATGGGGGGCACAAAAAAAAGTGAATTTCCAACAGATTTGGAGTCAGTGCTGCTGATTTTGTGCCCCTAACGTTCCTCCCCTGCCTGCTCTAACTGAGCTCTTCCAGGAGGGAAGTTTGGGTGGAAAACCTCCGGATTTGGGACCCCACCCTCTGCTCTTGTCACCCCTGTGAACACTGAATTCTTTGGGAATTCCTGGGTCGTGCCAAGCTGGTTGTAAAGTGAAATTAGAACTTTTTATCAGTCAGATTCAGCTCCCAGCCTGTTCTAATTCTTTTTCCTGCTCCAGGCTGATAATTCCAGTTGTGGGCTTTTGCTGTAATTGCTTCAGGCTTTTCCAGATGGAAGAGGCAGGGAATTGCTGTGGGTTCCAGCAGGGAATTGCTGTGGGTTCCAGCAGGGAATTGCTGGGAATTCCTTCCCGTTGGAGTGCTCCAGGAGGACTGGAGTTGTTCAGGAATGCTGTGAATTGTTTTAGTGCCCAGATCATCCTTCAGCTCCTGTTTCCCAGCTTACTGACCCTTCCAAAAGCCATCCCAAAAATAAAACCTGGATGGAAAGAAAGGCAAGAAGGGGTTTTTTTGTGCTGGAGTAAATAGAGAAATTCACTTTTAGAAAGCTGTGAACTATGACATAAATAGCATTTTAACAATGCTTTTTAACATCCTGGGTCATTAAATAGAAATTCCCACCTTTTCAGGCATCTGGAGGATGTGGATCTTGTTTGTTTGTTTTCAGTGACTCTAAGGAATGTAGAGACAATATTTCACCTGGAAATGGAGTTCTGAAGCTGAGATCAAGAGGTGGAAATGAAAAATACAGCTCCTTGAGGTTTTAGTCATCTCTCCAATGAGAAACTGAGCGTGGCTCAATAAGAATATTCAAATTTCATCTTTAAAATACTTTAAATTTTAAAAACCTTAAACTCACATGGCAGTGCAAACACACAACAACTCATCCCTTTGTGGACTGAAAGATTTCACCTCCTCTTTGCCTTTTCCATGATTATTTCCAAACCCTGCTCCATTCCCAGGCATCTTCAGGAATGTGAATAGAAGACACATGTGCAGCCCTTTGTGTGGAGTTGGAATTCCAGCTCTTGGAAGAGGCCAAGGCTTTTGGTGGAGTCATAAATTTCCCTCCCAACCAACCCAAAAGGAGTTCGGTGCCTTCTCTGACTCCTTGGAATTCACCAGGAAAAGCAGAGGGAGGTGATTTTTTTCCACCAGGAACAGCAAAAAAAGGCAGGATTGGGTTATTTTATCCATTCCACCCTTTAGGAATGGGAATATTTAATTCCCTTTTCACTACAGGTGAGGTAACAGCACATTCCAGTTTGCACAAAGGCCCAAGTTGTATTTAAAGCAGCCTTGAAGACCTTAAAGCTTTTTCTGAAGTGCTCAGAATTCCAGAGTTTTAAGGAAAAGAGGTTTTTGTTCCCTGGAGCAGTTTGGTTGATGTGGAGGCTGGACCTGAAAATTCTTTATTTTTGTATTTGTTGTGCTCTAAAGTCAAAGATGGACCAAAATCTGCCAACTTCAGCTTCCTGACAGGATCCAGACATCCAAATCCTGCAGGAATCCTCTTTGTTCCCCCCAGGAATGCTGCCAATGCAGGGAATAGGATTTTCCTAATCTGAGTGCTTTGGGTTTTTTCACTCTTTTTTTTCCTGGGTTTGGTTGGGGTTTTTCTGTATTTCTTTAAAAACTCATTCCTGACAATTCCAGCTTCGAGCCTAGAGTGGATTTTGGGAGCTCCCAGGAGGAGTTTAACACTTGTAGAGTTGGAATTAACTGTCAGGACTCCACAAACCTGAATTTGCTGGCAAAGCTGGCAGGAAAATCCCATTTTCCTCAAGCTCCAGAGCTGGAGTTTGGCACAGCTGGGTGAGGTGTGGAGTCCTCCAGTTCCTGTTCCAACAGCTGAATCCAGCAGGAATTCCTCCTGTAGAATTCTCACCTCCCTCCTGGCATGGAAAATTGGGAATTCTCAGGATTTGGTGAGATCCAGGTGGAGCATTTGTCTTCCTCTTTTCTCCTTGTTAATTTTCCTGTAGCCAGCTGCCAGTTGTATCAGCCTGGAGAGAGGGAAAGCAGCGATTTTGGGATAGAAAGCTGAGAGTTTTCAGGAAAAAAGCTCCAGAATAATTGGAAAAATCTCTCTGGAAAATCTCTCTGGCCACTGTTGCTCCTCAGGGATTAAATTTGCAAGTCTGAACCCAGCAGGGTTTGAAGGAGAGGAGTAAAGGGAAGAAATCCTGCTGGATTTTTGGAAAAGGAGCAGGAAAATGAGATTTCTGCCTCTTTCCCTGGGTGTTTCCATGCTCTGAGTGAGTAATTCTGGAGCACGAGGGTCTCTAAGGACAGGGGATGAGCGGGTGTGGTGGTGCCACTCCCTCCTTGCAGCAGCAATTCCTATTTTCTAACAGAATATTAATTATCTGAAGGGCTTTTCCTTGAAAAATTGTCATTTCTGATATCTTTGTGAAGCAAGGAAGAATGCAGGAGGAATTTCTGCATGGAAGGGGCTGCCCAGGGAGCTTTGGAGTCCCCACCCCTGGAGGTGTCCAAGGATTGTGACCAGTGATTCTGGAATTCCATAAATGAAGGATTTTGTCGTGGTTGCCTCCTGGGACAGCTCCTGCCAGAGCTGGAATGGGGATGTTGGAGCAGGATTTTATTCCCCTTTTATTTTTTGGGCAGCTCACATTACAAGTTAGCATTTGCACATGTGGTTCAGTAATTGGTGCCTCACAAACAGGGAGGTGAAAACAATCGGGGAAAAAAGTTGTTTTTATTTTTGTGGAATTCTTGGAGATCTCTCTGATATCCCCAGGTCTCCATTCTGGAGTGTTTGCTGCAGAAATTGGAGAGTTCCACATAAAAAGTGCTTTGTTGGGGTGGGGAGTGCTTGGCTTTTGCATCCAGGATTTTGAAACCTTTCCCACGGAATCCCAGAAATGTTTGGGATCTTAAAGCTCACCAGGGCAGGGACAGCCTGGCCTTGGACACTTCCAGGGATCCAGGGGCAGCCACAGCTTCTCTGGGAATTCCATCCCAGCCCTCCCCACCCTCCCAGGGAAGAGTTTCTTCCCAATATCCAACCTAAACCTTCCCTGTTTCATTTTGAAGCCATCCCCTTTGTCCTGTCACAATGATTTGCCCAAATTCTGTCTGTCCCTGATGTAGTTCTGATGGAAACCAAGAATATCCAAGGAATATTTTTCCTACAGTGCTGAAAAAAATGGTTTAAAAAAATCCCCAAATGTGCTTTATTTAATGTGACACCAATTCCCAATGGTTCTCTGCTTCACTTCTGCCATTCCCAGGAGAGGGATGAAGGAATGAGTGAAAAAATCTGAGCTTCCCACCTGTCCTGGCAGATGACTGCCAGCAGTTTGTGCTCTTATTTATCCTGGAATCACTTTTTGGACAAATAAAAGCAGCAGCATTCCAAGGTTGAACACCCAGCACCTCTCCTGGCCCCTGGACTGGGTTTTGGTTTTTTTTTTTTGGCTTCTTGCAGATTTATTTAGAAAAAGAAAGTAGCTGCTGTCACCAGATGCCTGCAGATGGCTTTAATCAGGTTCCAAACGTGCAACAATGGCACAAAGGAGCAGAATGAGCTCGGGTGGTTTCTTGTAACTCTCTTTTAGGGGCAGCAGCCAAATTGTTTCTGCTGCATTTGGTTCTGGGAGCTGTTAGAGGAGCTCACTGTGAGTTTTTTCCAGGATTCTGAGCCATGCAAGGCAAGAAAGTGGGGTTTGCCCCAGTGTTTAAGTGATTTACAAGGTGAGAAGTTTTCAAATAGCCTCTAAAATGTTACTAGCTGAACTAATACCCCTATTTTGCTTTTATTCCCTGGGTTTTTTTTTTCAGTTTTACTCATCTTTAATGGATTGCAGTGCTCCACGTGATTCCTTCTTCCTCTTTTTCTTCCCCACCTCCATGTAGAGCAACCAAGTGGTTCCTTCTCCCTCTTTCTTTTCCCTTCTCCCTCTTTTTCCCTTCTCCCTCTTTCTTTTCCTTTCTCCCCTTTTTTCCTTCTCCCTTTTTTTTCCCTTCTCCCTCTTTTTCCTTCTCCCTCTTTTTCCCTTCTCCCTCTTTTTCCCTTCTCCCTCTTTTTCCTTCTCCCTCTTTCTTTTCCCTTCTCCCCTTTTTTCCTTCTCCCTTTTTTTCCCTTCTCCCTCTTTTCCCTCCCCATTCCTTCTCTGGAAAAGATCTAAATAGGTGAGAAAAGGAAGAATTTATAGAGATGCTTTAAAATCAGCTTTTATGGGGAAAAAAAATAGCAGCAAACCCAAGAGTTAAACCTGATAATTACAAAGAGCAGAGCTCTGAGTGTTTCTTTCCAGAGCTTTTGAAATCCAAGGTGTTCATTCCCCATCCTTAAATCCTGGTGTTGCTCATGGCTTGTCCCATCCAATTTGGGATTTCTGGGGCAGCTCCAGCCCTGTGATCTCAGCTAGGTTTGTTTTGAGGTTTGTTTTTCCCTCACCTCGTGCCTGTGTTTACAGCTCCTGACTCACAAATCCTGTTCCCCTTTAATCCCAGCCTTGGAATTCCCACTGGGAGCTGCAGCTCTGTTCCCAGGAGGAGATTGTCACAAAGTGTTTGTGTGCATGTGGAAAAATAGGAAAACTTCTCTCCTTACTCCTGTGCCAGCTTTTCCAGGGATTTATTTCACTCTGTGGTGTGTGGGGGGTGCAGAGCTGGACCTGCAGCTGCTCCAGCTGCCTTTGGAACATGTGAGAATTTATTCCAATCCTTTTTTTTTTTTTTTTTTTTTCATGGAAAGAGTCAAAAATCTGAGTCAGCAAGAGAAATGTTGAATGTGAAGAACTCTGAAGTGTGGTGGGTGGAGAAGCTTCACTTTCGAGGAAAAACCTCTCATTCAAGTGGTTTGGGGTTAAATAAACACAATTCCTTCCTGACTTTCAGATGTGGAATTATGGCTTGGATTTGTAAGGGAATTATCTGTGGATACCTAAAGAGAAAAGGGGAATATCAAATGCAGCATCAAAGGTGCTTTTGTGCTGAGAATTCCTGAATTTAGATGTAACAAAGCTGCTTTGTCAGCTGGCTGAGGTGTTTGGAATCCCTTCTCTTTTCCAAGCAGGAAATCTCCTGGCCCAGCACAGGAAAAGCCAAAGCATTTGACAAAAAGCTGCTGATTTATCTCCTGCATTGTCACACAGGATTCCTTAATCTGATTTTTATTTTTTGTAATTCCCTGGATCTGCGGTGGGAGTGATTTCCTGGGAGAACCCAGCAGCTCTTCCTCCTTTGGAACTGAGGAGAAATTCAACGTTTTTTGAAAATCACACTTCACAGAGCCCACGAGCAACCAGCTGTTTGATGAATCCCTAAAAAATTCTGTCTTTCAGGCCTGTTTTTTGTTCCAAAGTACAAATGTGGTGTGCTGGGGAGGCTGAAGGGTTAAATTCCCCACACTGTCGCATATGGCAGTGAGCAGAATCACAGATGTTGATGATACAACATAATTAGTATTCTTTTATGTAAATGAAGGCTGTCAATGTTACCACAGTGTCTGCACTCCTGCAAGCTGGAATTTCTGTCACTTGCTCTCACTTGAGGTTGAGGATTCTGAATAAAATTCCATGATTTTTATATCCACACCTGAGGAGGAAAATTAAGAGGAAAGAGGGGGAAAAAGGTGAGGAAGGGATTTTTCCAACTTGGAAAAAAAGAGACCAAACCAATCCTTTGTTTAGGTGAGGATTTCCAAAATCCTTTCCACATCTTGGGATTTGAGAGAGGAATGAGCCCAGGCCAAGGGAAATGTGGGAATTTCTGAGCTGGTTTAAATAAAAACCTCCGTGGTTCTTTGGGTGCTGAAGTGGCCACTTGAGCTTTCAGTGGAGTCCAGGAGAAAAAACTGAAGAGCTTTGATTTTTCCTCTAAGAGATTCCATCCTCCACAGCAATAGCACTGATAACGGTGGTAATTAAAGCAAATTTGTGTCATTTGGGGCCACTAAAAATGCATTTCCTTCACCTGGCCAGCTCCCTGCCCGCCCATGCAGGTGAGGCCTCAATCCCTGCCTCAGAGCTTTGGCAAGTGTTCAACTTTGCACCTCATAAAATGATGTTTTAACCCCATATTCTGTGTGCCAGACCCCCGTGTAACTAACTTCATTCAGATCCATTTTTCCATTCTCTTCCACCTCTGTTTTTCCCCCATTTTTCCCATTTTCCTCTCCTTTTGGTTATTTTGTTGCACTTTGCACCTGCCAACTCCTCATTGCTTCCTTTTTATTGTTTGAAAAAGCACCTAGAACTGAAATTTAACTGAGCACAGCTTTTCTTTTTTTAATCTTTCCCCCTTCTCCTCCCCCTGTCTCTCACCAGGCAATCAAAGCAGCCAAAAATCCAAGTGATCACAGGAGGGCCACATTTTTTCCTCCTGTTTGTTTTTTTTTTTTTGACTCCCATTTTTCCCCTCTGCCATATGTTGGGTCATCCACTACAAAAGCCTCAACCATGAAGAGGCTCCATGTGATCAGCAGATTTTTACAGCCTGCTCAAATAAAAAGAAATGAAAGCAGAGAATGAAATGGAATGGAATTTTGTGTGTGACGTGTCTCAACATCTGAGAATTCAGGATCCTGGGGGTAATTCCAGAGAATTATTTCTGGGATGAATGAGTTCTGCACTGAGGAGTTAATGCTGCACCTGCCAGCGTTCCAGGCTTGGTTTCTGTGCATCACCAGGATATTTTCCCCTCTCTCTCCAGGGCTTTGAAGCTGCCTGGCAGTGAGGACTTCCCAGTAATTAAATTCTCCGGGATCCGTGGGAGGATGATGGGGCTGCTGCACGCCCGCGACACGGCGTGGCCGAGGAGAGGATGTGTGAGCTGCACCCCGTGAGTAACCTGGCTCTGACCCCTCCTTCTGTCCCCAGAGCCTTGGAGGGACTGGGAAAAGGATCCACAATTCACTGGGGATCTTTTATCACACCAAGACTTAGGGTTTTAGCTTTTCATACATTTATAATCTGTAATTCGTCAGTGGTGGAGGAGAGGATGTGTGAGTGCACTCCATGAGCGGCCTGGGTCTGACCCCTCCTTCCTGCTCCAGAGCCTTGGAGGGACGGGGAAAAGGATCCACAATTCACTGGGGATCTTCTGTCAAACCAAGATTTAAGATTTTAGCTTTTCATGCATTTATAATCCTGTAATTCTTCAGTGTATAACTCTAAACTCCATGGCGTAGGAGAGGATGTGTGAGTGCACCCCGTGAGTAACCTGGGTCTGACCCCTCCTTCCTGCTCCAGAGCCTTGGAGGGACTGGGAAAAGGATCCACAATTCACTGGGGATCTTCTATCAAACTCATGCCTTAGGATTTCAGCTTTTCATACATTTATAATCCTGTAATTCTTCAGTGTATAACTTTAAACTCCATATCCAGTGTCTAAAACCCTTTTTCCCTTGTGTTCTTTTCCCCCCAAAGTCGGAGCAGCGACTCCTCCTGTGAGACAAGGATCGATGCAAACAGGGAGAATTTGGGATGCCCTGTGCAGGGCCAAGAGTCAGATTTGATGGTGCTAACCCTTCTACTGACCCCACAAGGAGATTTCAAATGAGTGTCACAGCTCTAAAACCCTTTCCCTTGTGTTTTTCCCCCCGAGGTCGGAGCAGCAACACCTCCTGTGAGACATGGATGGATGCAAACAGGGAGAATTTGGGATGTCCTGTGCAGGGCCAGGAATCAGATTTGATGATCCTGACCCTACAATGAGATCTCAGATCCATGTCACAGCACTAAAACCCTCTCCCTTGTGTTTTTCCCCCAAGGTCGGAGCAGCGACTCCTCCTGTGAGACATGGATCGATGCAAACATGTGGGGAATTTGGGGTGTCCTGTGTAGGGCCAGGAACCAGATTTGATGATCCTAACCCTTCCAATGACCCTACAATGAGATCTCAGATCCATGTCACAGCTCTAAACACCTCTCCCTTGTGTTTTTCCCCAAGGTTGGAGCAGCGACTCCTCCTGTGAGACATGGATCGATGCAAACATGTGGGGCGGCTACGACTCGCCCAGGACCACTCGATCCTGAACCCCCAGAAGTGGCAGTGCGTGGACTGCCACACCACCGAGTCGCTCTGGGCCTGCCTCAAGTGCTCCCACGTGGCCTGCGGGCGCTACATCGAGGAGCACGCCCTGAGGCACTTCCAGGAGACCCGGCACCCCTTGGCCATGGAAGTGCACGAGCTCTACGTCTTCTGTTACCTCTGCCAGGATTACGTCCTCAACGACAACCCCGAGGGCGACCTGAAGCTGCTGAGGAGCTCCCTGTCGGCCATCAAGGGGCAGAGGAGCGGGAGGACGCTGCGCTCCATGGCGCTGGCCGAGGACGCCTGGAGGAGGAGGAGCCCCCAGGGCCAGTCCCAGATGCTCACGGCGCTGTGGCACCGGCGCCAGGCCCTGCTGGCGAGGGCTCTGCGCACCTGGTTCCACAAGAGCTCCCGGGGACAGCTGAAACTGAAGGAGAAAAAACAGATGGAGGAGCTGGAGAAGAAGAAGGAGGCGGCTCGGCAGCGGCGGCAGGAGATGAAGAGGCAGCTCCTGGAGGAGTTGGCCAGCACTCCGCCGAGGAAGAGTGCCAGGCTGCTGTCCCACGTGCACAGGGAGAGCTTGATCCCAAGGAAATTCAGGGAGGTGGCCACAGCTTCCCCTACCTCAAGGCAGGTGCAGAGCAGCAGATTGAAGCAGTTCTACTCCATCCGGCGGCAGCCCCTGATGACGCCCGGGGTGACGGGGCTGAGGAACCTGGGCAACACTTGTTACATGAACTCCATCCTGCAGGTGCTCAGCCACCTCCAGAAGTTCCGAGAATGTTTCTTGACTCTTGATCTCTGTGAAACTGAAGAACTTTTAGCTAAAACTGTGAACGGGAGAGCCAGGATGCCTGGCAAGCTGGCAAACGGGGCTGCTGCTAACGAGCCAGGGAAGCCTGACAAGGTGGGCTCGTCCGGCACGCAGAGCTCTCCGGCCGGCTTGAACGGGGGCTCCTCCATCAGCCGCAGCTTGGAGCTCATCCAGCCCAAGGAGCCCAGCTCGAAGCACATCTCCCTGTGCCACGAGCTGCACACCCTGTTCAGGGTGATGTGGTCTGGCAAGTGGGCCCTGGTGTCCCCGTTTGCCATGCTGCACTCCGTGTGGAGCCTGATCCCGGCGTTCCGCGGCTACGACCAGCAGGACGCGCAGGAGTTCCTCTGCGAGCTCCTGGACAAGGTGCAGCAGGAGCTGGAGTCCGAGGGCAGCAGGCGCAGGATCCTCATCCCCTTCTCGCAGAGGAAGCTCACCAAGCAGGTCCTCAAGGTGGTCAACACCATTTTCCACGGACAGTTGCTCAGCCAGGTATGGAGTTGCTTTTCCACAGGGATCCCCTGGAGCTGTTCACACCGAGGAGCAAAGGCTCTGCACGTTGAGGATCCCATTTAGGAGTCTCTTAGGAATTCCCAAATCCTGAGGAAAAAATCCCATAAGTTGCCACCATTTCCATCCTCGTCACATTTAGCACAAATTCACTTCAGTTGTGCCACTTCTGGATGAGACCTGCACAAGCACAGAAGTCCTGAGCCCCTGAGCTTTTAGGCTTTGGATGTGTCTAGTCCTGAGCTTTTAGGCTTTGAATATGTTCAGTCCTGAGGTTTTGGGCTTTGAATATGTTGAGTCCTGAGCTTTTAGGCTTTGAATGTGTTTTTAAGATGCCTTTCCCTTTTTTTTTTTTTCTCTCTTATGGCTTTATGCTCAGTGTAAGCTTTCTGAGCCAATCATGTTATGACACACAAACCTACAGTACTGTACTCCAAAACTCTAAACTTTCCTCTACTTAACCTGTCTCTGCTTTAAACTATAAATCCACGTTCTTGCTTCTAGCAAGGTCTCAGATCAATTCCTGGGTTTAATTCTAAACTTTTTTGCCTCCCAAGACTGTAGCAGTGATTCCTCCTGAGACATGGATGGATGCAAATGTGGGGAATTTGGGGTGTCCTGTGCAAGATTAGGAGTCACATTTGATGATCCTGACCCTACCACTGACCCTACAAGAAGATTTCAAATGAGTGTCACAGCTCTAAAATCCTTTTCCTTGTTATTTTTTTGCCCCCAAGGTTGGAGCAGTGACACTTCCTTTGAGACATGGATGGATGCAAACATGGGGAATTTGGGGTGTCCTGTGCAGGGCCAAGAGTCAGATTTGATGATCCTGACCCTTTCAATGACTCTGCAATGAGATTTCAAATGAGTGTCACGGCTCTAAAATCCTTTTCCTTGTGGTTTTTTGCCTCCCAAGGCTGGAGCAGTGACACTTCCTTTGAGACATGTGTAGATGCAAAAGTGGGGAATTTGGGGTGTCCTGTGCAGGGCCAGCAGTCACATTTGATGACCCTTTTGTCCCTCTTCCAACTGGGGCTATCCCATAACCCTACAAGAACATTTCAAATTCACATTGCAGCTCTAAAATCCTTTTCCTTGTGGTTTTCCTTTGTGTTTCCATGCTTTTTGCCCCCGAGGCTGGAGCAGTGACACCTCCTGTGAGACATGGACGGATGCAAACGTGGGGAATTTGGGGTGTCCTGTGCAAGGCCAGCAGTCACATTTGATGACCCTTTTGTCCCACTTCCAACTGAGGAAGGCCCAAAAGCCCAAAGTTGTGAGAATTCCCTGCGTTTCAGACTCCAGCTGTGTGTCCCTGTGTCCCTGTCCCAGGTCACCTGCAGGACGTGCAACTACAAATCCAACACTGTGGAGCCCTTCTGGGACCTTTCCCTGGAATTCCCAGAGCGGTACCATTCCCTGGAGAAGGGGATCCTGCCCGTGCCCCAGGCTGAGTGCCTGCTCACTGAGATGTTGGCCAAATTCACCGAGACAGAAGCCCTGGAGGGGAGGATCTACGCCTGTGACCAGTGCAACAGTGAGTGCCACCACCCCCTGGCACTGTCCCCTGCCAGGGACACTCCTGCAGGGCTGGGGAATCTTCCCACAGCGCTGGGAAATAATCCCTGAGTGGATGTGATTGGAACAGAGGCTGGAATAAATCCTGCCCCAGAAATTGGGAGAGTTCAGCTTCGTCTTAACTCGGTTTGCTTTGGTTCTCTGGGAGGAAAAAGAAAGAAAATTGATTTTAATGCTTCAGAATTAAATGGCTTTTAAGGAATTCTGAGTGGCTTTTAAGGAATTCTAGATCACTAAGAGTTTTTAAGTGGCTTTTAAGGAATTCTAAATGGCTGAGGAATTCTGCTTTTAAGGAATTCTAAATGGCTTTTGAGGAATTCTGAATGGCTTTTAAGGAATTCTAAATGGTTCAAGAATTCTAGATCACTATGAGATTTTAAATGGCTTCTAAGGAATTCTGAATGACTTAAGGAATTCTAAATGGCTTTTAAGGAATTCTGAGTGGTTTTTACGGAATTCTAAATTGCTTTTATGGAATTTAAATGGCTGAGGAATTCTTAAGTGGCTTTTAAGGAATTCTGAATGACTTTTAAAGAATTCTGAGTGGCTCAGGAATTCTAGATCATTAAGAGACTTTAAATGGCTTTTAAGGAATTCTGAATGATTTTAAAGGAATTCTAAATGGCCTTTAAGGAATTCTAGATGGCTCAGGGATTTTAAATAGCTTTTAAGGAATTCTGATTGGCTTTTAAGGAATTTACATGGCTGAGGAATTCTGAAGAGGCTTTTAAGGAATTCTGAAAGACTTTTAAGGAATTCTGCATGGCTCAGGAAGCATTTTCCAGCTGGAAAGAGTCAGGGAAAAGGCCCCAAGTGCAAGGAGCAGTGAGGACACTGCTGCCAGAGCTGCTGCAGGAGCTGGGGCTGCACAAATCCAATTAACAGGTGCAGTGCTAATTGGGATCTCTGACAGCCACCTGGCCCCTTCTGCTCCAGCCTTTCCTGGGAAGAGGAGGGAGGAATTCTTCCTCTTTTCCAGCTTTGCTGTTGCTGGGAGCATTTTTTTAAACGCTTCTGTGAGGAGCTCAAAGCAGCAGAGAGAATAAAAATATTGAAGATTTGGGAGCTGGAATTCACCTGCAGCCCAGGAAATCTTTGGCTCAACATTCCTGGTGTTATTCCAACAGGAAAAAAAATCTCTGATTTGTCACTCAGAGGTGACAAATGTTTGTGTGATGAGGAGAAGGGAGAGTTTGGACCTCACAGAAATTCTGAAATGTTTATTCCTGTGACCATCCCCGTGCTGGAAAAAAAAAAAAAATAAAGATTTCACCTTGTGCTGGTTTTTCTCTTGGGGGAATTAACAGGATCCTGGTAATCTTTGCCTTGAGGGTTTTTTGGATTTTTTTTTTTTTTGGCAGGTAAAAGGCGAAAATCTTCTCCCAAACCTCTTGTTCTGAGTGAAGCTAAGAAGCAGTTGCTGATCTACAGACTACCTCAGGTCCTCCGGCTGCACCTTAAACGCTTCAGGTGAGGCACTGAGCCCTGGATTTTGGGGAAAAAGTGACCAAAAATGGGCCTTTAAACACCCTCAGTTCCTGCTAAAAGCGGCTGTGTAACTTCTGAGCCATCAGATTGATGAAACCCCCTTGTGTTGCACGTTTTTCAGGGATTTTTTCTGCCATAATTTAATGTTTTGTGCCTTTAATTCTTAATTTCTTTGGGTTTTAATCGAGTTTGCAGGCAGCTTGGAAGGAGAAGTCAGTAAGCTGAGTGAAAGGTGGGAGATTGAGAGAATTCAGTGCCAGTATTGGCTGTTTACCTGTGGAACAGAAAGCAGAAAAAGCTCAAAAGATGAGGAGAAGACTCTGAAGTGGTCAGGGTGGGTGTGGGGGGGTTTATGGGTAGGGCTGAGGGTTTTAAAGGTGGTCAGAGGAGAAATCTGCCTCAAAAATACCCCACCTGAAACAAAAAATATCCAAAATACCCCACCTGGAACAAAAAATATCAATGGCAGGGGGACACCCCACCTAAAATAAAAATTATTAATAGCAAAAGGAGATTTTGGGGTGAAACCCCTGGATTTGGTGATACTGAGCACCCTGAGTTGTGGGATTTGTGTGCTGGGGGTTTCCTGCAGGAGATTTTGGTTCAAAACCCCCAGATTTGGTGGCACTGAGCACCCTGAGTGCAGAATTTGTGTGGGGGGCAGATTTTGGGATGAAATCCCCAGATTTGGTGTCACTGAGCACCCTGAGTGTGGGATTTGTGTGTTTGGGGGGTTTTTGCAGGAAATTTTAGTTCAAAGCCCCCGGATTTGGTGTCACTGAGCACTGAGTGTGAGATTTGTGTGTTTGGGAGGTTTTTGCAGGAAATTTTAGTTCAAAACCCCCCAGATTTGGTTCTGCTGAGCACCCTGAATGTGAGATTTGAGTGTTTGGGTGTTTTTTACAGAAGATTTCATTTCCAAACCCCCGTTTTGATGTCACTGAGCACCCCTGAGCACAGGATTTGTGTGTTTGGGGGCTTCCTGCAGGGAATTTTCATTCAAAACCCCCAGATTTGGTGGCACTGAGCACCCCTGAGTGTGGGATTTGTGTGTTTGGGAGGTTTTTGCAGTGAATTTTAGTTCAAAGCCCCCGGATTTGGTGTCACTGAGCACTGAGTGTGAGATTTGTGTGTTTGGGAGGTTTTTGCAGTGAATTTTAGTTCAAAACCCCCCAGATTTGGTTCTGCTGAGCACCCTGAATGTGAGATTTGAGTGTTTGGGTGTTTTTTACAGAAGATTTCATTTCCAAACCCCCGTTTTGATGTCACTGAGCCCCCTGAGCGCAGGATTTGTGTTCGCAGGTGGTCTGAGCGCAATCACCGCGAGAAGATCGGGGTCCATGTCCTCTTTGAGCAGGTATTAAACATGGAACCTTACTGCTGCAGGGACTCTCTGCCCTCCCTTGCCACCGAGACCTGTGTCTATGACCTCTCGGCTGTGGTGATGCATCACGGCAAGGGGTTTGGCTCGGGACACTACACAGCCTATTGCTACAACACGGAGGGAGGTGCGTGAGGCAAACCCCTCCCAACCCTCTCCCCTTCCTCAGCATTCCCTGGCTTTTCCCTCCTTTGGAATTCCACTTCCTTGGGATCCACTCCTTGCCCTTCAGTAGTTTGTTTTTCCCCGTTGTATTCCTTTTTTTTTTTTTTTTTTTTTTTTGTTTTTTTTTTTTGTTTTGTTTTTCTCGGGAATGGTGGGAATTCTTCATTCTGCCAGAGTTGCTGCAGCTGGGTTTGCTCAGGATCCTGGGGATTGAGGAGATGAACAGAAAGTGTTTTGAGGCTGGAAAAACAGGAACTATTCATGAGCAACATCCGCAGGGGGCTGGGAGATCCCAGCAGCTGGATCAGCACGGGCTCTGCCTTCCTGGCTGCACAAATTGGGAATTTTTGGCTGCATAATTGAGCTTCTGGGTTGATTAAATGATGATTTGATATTTCTAAAGCACCCCAAAAAATTATATTTTAAAAACTATATTTAAAATTCTATGTTAAAATTATATTAAAATTATATATTTTAAATTATATTAAAAACTATATTTTACCTTTATATAAAATTATATTCAAATATATTTAAACAATTATATTAAAATTCTATATATATAAAAATTATATTTAAAGTGATGTTAAAACCATTTTCCAGCTTAGAGAAAAAGACAGAGGTGCCTTTTCTCCTGTGGATGTTTCCTGTGAGCAGTTCCAAAATCCAGAGGGATCCTGCCTCAGCTAAGAGGTTTTTTTCCCTTTTTTCCCAGGTTTTTGGGTGCACTGCAATGACTCCAAACTGAATGTATGTAGCGTGGAGGAGGTGTGCAAGACCCAGGCCTACATCCTCTTCTACACTCAGAGAACGCTGCAGGACAAAGCAGGAATCCCAGAAAAACAACTCCAAACTCAGGTGTTTGCCACCCAAAACCAGTGACAAGGACACAAAAGTGACATTCCCACGAGGGGAAACACTCCCAGCTGCTTCGGGGAACTTGGGGGATTCATCATCCCCTGGTCTGTGGGGAAACTGCAGGGATGGGCAGGGATCAGGGATGGGATCAGGGATCAGGGATGGGATCAGGGATCAGGGATGGGGCAGGGATCAGGGATGGGATCAGGGATCAGGGATGGGATCAGGGGAGGGATGTGGGACCATGGCAGGGATGGGATGGGATCAGGGCAGGGATGGGATCAGGGATAGGATCAGGGCAGGGATGGGATGGGATCAGGGATGGGATCAGGGCAGGGATGGGATCAGGGCAGGGATGGGATCAGGGCAGGGATGGGATCAGCTGGGATGGAATCAGGGCAGGGGTGGGATTAGGGCTGGAATGGAGCAGGGATGGGATCAGGGCTGGAATGGGAAAAGAGCAGGGATGGGATCAGGGCAGGGATGGGGTCAGGGATTAGGGCAGGGATGGGATCACAGCAGGAATGGGATCAGGGATCAGGGATGGGATGGGATCAGATCAGAGCTGGAATGGGATGAGAGCACAAGGCAGGAATGGGATCAGGGCAGGAATGGGATCAGAGCAAGATGTTTGGAAGACCTCCTGGAGGAGCTGGGCAGTTCAGAATTTGGGCAGAACCTTGGGTTTTGAGTGTCTTTTTGGCTCCAAAAAGAAAAGAAATGATGAAGTTTGATGCTGTTCATTCATCCCCTATCAAAGAGGAATGAAACAGGAGAATCCCCCTGGATCAACACCCCTCAATCCCTAAAAATCCTGCTCCATCTCCAGGAGAACAGGTACAGCACCCTTGAGTGGCCTGGAGCATCCCAGAGCTGCTCCTGCTGGAAAAACATTGAAATTCTCCTCAATTCCTCCCTCTGCTGCCCCTGGAACTCCAATTTCTGTGCCACATTCTGGGGTTTTTTCTGGCCTGAACTCAACTGGCAGCTAAATTCCCTCAAAAATGGGATTTTCATGGAGTTCTGCTGTGGAGAAAATGGGGTTAACCCCCCAAAAGGGGTTTTAGCACACAAAAAAATGTGTTTAGCCCCCCAAAATGGGTTTTAATCTCCATCATTGTGTTTTAACACACAAAAAATGGAGTTTAACCCTCAAAAATGTGTTTTACACCCAAAAAAACCCCCAGGAATGTCCCTGAGTGCCACATCTGGCAGGCAAACCAAAGCCTGAGCTCCAGGCTTCTGCTGGATTGGGAAGAATTCCCAAAAGCTGTGGCAGCAGAAGTTGGAATTGGGGGAAAATTCCCCTTTTTTTGTACAAACGTGGCTGCTTTTCCTCAGGGGAACGGGCTGGTGGCAATGCCACATCCGGGGGGGGGTCTGTCACTGCTTTTGGGGTGAAAAATGTCATTTATTGGGCTTGGCACAGGCGTGGTGCCACCTTTGGAGGTCTCTGTTCCTGCAGTGCCACCCAAGGGGAGGAATGTGAAATCCCAAATTCCACGTGGAGCTGGAAAAGCTGCAAAAAACAAAAAGTCTGTATCTGAAATCAGCCTGATTTTGGGAATTCTGTGGGGGAAAAAAAGAGCCTTAGCTGGACTATTTACAGTCACTTCTACAGTTGCACCTCAGGTGTGGTTTTTGTCATTTTGGGGCTTGGCTGTTCACATTTCACCTTTTAATCTGAATATTAGACCTGATGTCTGTTAATCTGGGTTATTTTTTTTTTAATAATTGAAAATATGAGGTTGGTTTTTAAAAAAAAAAATACTCAGTTTTCAAGCAGGGAAGTTCTCCAAGTGTTTTTCCTCCTCCCTTTTTGCTCCTTTTGTCTCATCAGATAAACACAAGCTGCCAACCTCTGTTGTTGTGGGGGAAAAGCTCCCAAATCCCATTTTTTCCTGGGAATTTCAACCTCCTGTCCTTGGGCAAAGTAAGCACAGCAAGCAGAAAACTTGGATTGTGTCAGAGAAAAAATTCCCAGTTCCATCCCAGGCTGGATTTCCATCCCAGGCTGGGTTTCAGTTCCATCCCAGGCTGGATTTTCCCTGGATTTCCATCCCAGGCTGGATTTTCCCTGGATTTCCATCCCAGGCTGGATTTCCCTGGCAGCAGCAGCTGCTGGGTCCCAGGGCTGGGCTCTTCCCTGTGTCTCTCTTGGGTGTGAAATAGAAATCATGTTTTTATGATTTTTTGTTTTTGTAAATCTTTACTCTTTTTACACCTTGTTTTTTGTAAGCTGAAGTTTCTTATTAAAAAAAAAAAAAAAGAAAGAAAAAAACAAAGAGAAAAAAAGAGAAAGAAATTCCAGTGGGTTGTGTTGTTATTCCATAAAATTTAATAAACATCTGGGGGTGGGGGGTACAGGAGGAAATTCCATGCACATCCTTAAGGAAACAATTCCCAAAGGAATGAGTGAAAGAATGGGAAATCAATTCTTCCTCTCAGCATTTAACCTTTTGTCCTTGTCACTGCTCCAGGCAGGACAGGAGGGACCAGAGCAGCTCCAGAGGGGTCAGAACAGCTCCAAAGGGATCAGAGCAGCTCCAGGTGGGATGAGAGCAGCTCCAGGTGGGATCAGAGCAGCTCCAGGTGGGATCTGAGCAGCTCCAGAGGGGTCAGAGCAACTCCAGGTGGGATCAGAACAGCTCCAGGGGGGTCAGAGCAGCTCCAGGTGGGATCTGAGCAGCTCCAAAGGGATCTGAACAACTCCAGGTGGGATCAGAGCAGCTCCAGGGGGATCTGAGCAGCTCCAGGTGGGATCAGAGCAGCTCCAGAGGGGTCAGAGCAGCTCCACAGCTCCAGTCCTGGTGGGAGGGCGAGCTCTGCTCCCAGCAGCTCCAGCTCCTTCCTGGGACAGGAGTCAGCAGCGTCAGGGAGCTGGTTGTGCTTTCAGATGTGGGTAAAGAGGGGGTTCTGTGGGGTTTGGGGCGGGCTCCCCCTGCTCTGTGTCACCTCAGGGGGTGACAGCTCTGTCCTGAGGGGCAGGCTGAGTCTGGGGGCTTTGTTCAGCCTCGGGGGGCTGCAGCTCCAAACTGCTGAGCAGGGACAGCAGCCAGGGAAGGGCTGGATTTGGGAGACTGAGGGTGGATTTTGGGAAAGCTTCCTCCCCCAGAGGGTGCTGGCACTGCCCAGGCTCCCCAGGGAATGGGCACGGCCCCGAGGCTGCCAGAGCTCCCCAGAGAGGGATTTTGTGATCTCAGGGATGCTCAGGTGGGATTCTGGAATCTCAGGGACGCCCAGCTGGGATTTTGGGATCTCAGGGATGCCCAGGTGGGATTCTGGGATCTCAGGGACGCCCAGCTGGGATTTTGGGATCTCAGGGACACCCAGGTGGGATTTTGGGATCTCAGGGATGCCCAGGTGGGATTTTGGGATCTCAGGGACACCCAGATGGGATTCTAAGATCTCAGGGATGCCCAGGTGGGATTTTAGGGTGTCTGTGCAGGGCAGGAGTTGGGTTTGATCCCTGTGGGTCCCTCCCAGCTCAGGATGTTCCCGATCCCGCCCCCTCGGTCCCTCCCCGCACCGACCGGAGCTACGGGACGGGCTGCGGGGCCATCAGGTCGATGTCGGTCAGGTTCCGGGCCACCCACACCCCGGCGGCAAACAGCCCCAGGTTCAGCAGCAGGTTCCTGCAATCACAAAACCCCAGAAGCACTCAGCTTGGAAAAGATTTTGGGAAAGTTCATCCGAGTCCAGGCTGTGCCCGATCCCCACCCTGAGCCCTGAGTGCCACCTCCAGGTGACACCTGCGCGGCGGGGCCGCCGCCGCTCCCGCCGCTCCCGCTCCGGCCGCCGCCATTGCTGCCGCCCGCCCGCGCCGCGCGACGGCCGCACTCCCGCGCGTGACGTCACCGGCGCAGCGTGACGTGGCCACTGGCGCGCGGGGCGGGAACGGGAACTGGAACTGGATCGGGAATGGGATCGGGATCGGGATTGGGAGCGGCAATGGGAACAGGATCGGGAGCGGGAACGGGAACGGGATTGGGATTGGCATCATCCATCCATCCCTCCATCCATCATCCATCCCTCCATCCATCATCCATCCATCCACCTGTCATCCATCCATCATCCCTCCATCCATCCATCTGTCATCCATCCATCCATCATCCATCATCCATCCATCATCCATCATCCATCCATCCATCCATCCATCCGTCATCCATCCATCCATCCATCCACCCATCATCCATCCATCCCTTCATCCATCCTGCAGCCTCATCTGTCCCTGCTGCTGGATTTTCTCCCCAAATCCCACTAACTGATCCACCCAGCCACCAAACTGATTTATGGCAATTAGGGACTCTCCTTAAGGGAGCAGCTGGAGATCCAGGCGTTATCCACCCGGCGGGAGCAGCCAGATCCCGAGGGCTGCCCGGGCCCCACACTGTTAGAAATGAGAAGCTTGACTAGGCCAATATTCAAGCAGCAATCAATTTATTAATTAATCTGGTAAAGTATGAGCAATACAGCGCTGGGTACAGAGCGGGAAGTTTTCCCTTTAACTATCTAAGCCCCGATAGTTGGGGCTCACAGGTATTTATGGGGTACTCATGAGCTTTCTCAGCAGTTTCTGTTCCCAATTTTTACTCACCACCTTTTCTCCCCTCCTTTATCAACATTCGGGATCAGCGAGCTGAGCGGAGCCTCCCTCCCCTCCCGATCGCCTCCCACCTTCCTGGAAGGTCGGGCCGTGTGTCCCCAGCTCCCTGAGGATGCCGGAATCCGCATGGCCGGCCCGACCAGTTCCGACCAGTTCGTTATCAGCGCGTCCCAGCCAAACCCCCCGCGGCAGCCGGGGATGTTCCGGGCCGGGGGAAGGTGGTAAATCCTCGGGGGCAGGGCGGGATGGCCGTGCCTGGAGCGCCGTTCCCGGCGGGAATGCCGGGGGATGAGGGGGAGGAGAGGCTGGGGGCGCCGGGCTGCCTCGGGAGGGGATGAACTCGGGGGGCAGCGGGTTTGGGAGACCCTCCGAGCCGCGTCCCCGCTGGCCCGTGGTGGGGCTGCGGTTGTCATAAGTAGTAATAGGTTTGTTCATTAATTTAATCAATAGCTAAATAATTATACAATATAAAACAGTAGTTAAATAGCTAAAAACTTCTCGTGCAGGTACATACGGTTGCTGGTTTACTATAGTGCTTTGGGAATTCCATTGTAAAGGTGTGCCTTATGAAAGGAAAGTCATGAAAAGCAGCTGTAATAACATCCTTAAACTCGCAAGAATTGCTTAGCTTGCAGAAAGCCTACAGTGTTCTGTATAGATATGCTAAGGCATAAGTTAAAAAAAAAAAAAAAAAAATTATATGATCCTTAAATTCAGTGAACTTGTTTATCACACGGTGCCAGGAGGTGACAGACGGACAGACGGACACGCTGGGAGGTGACAGCAGGGTCACCCGGCATGGCAGCAGAGGTGGGTGCCGTGCAGCCCTGTCCTGGCAGGGCTCTCCAAACCCTCCCACCCTTCCCTGCTCCCTCCTCGACTCCGCTCCAGCCGCGGGAATGGGGGGCCCGCTCCCCGAAATATCCCGGGGGAGCAGCCCGGGGACCGGGGGGTTGGTGCTGGAGCTGGGGGGGTTCGTGTCCTGAGGGACCCCAGGATCCCCTTTCCCATGGATATTCCATGCCTGGGGAACACGGGGATCCCCTTTTCCATGGATATTCCATGCCTGGGGGACACGGGGATCCCCTTTCCCATGGATATTCCATGCCTGGGGGACACGGGCATCCCCTCTTCCATGGATATTCCATGCCTGGGGGACACGGGCATCCCCTCTTCCATGGATATTCCATGCCTGGGGGACACGGGGATCCCCTTTTCCATGGATATTCCATGCCTGGGGGACACGGGGATCCCCTTTTCCATGGATATTCCATGCCTGGGGGACACGGGGATCCCCTCTTCCATGGATATTCCATGCCTGGGGGACACGGGGATCCCCTTTTCCATGGATATTCCATGCCTGGGGGACACGGGGATCCCCTCTTCCATGGATATTCCATGCCTGGGGGACACGGGGATCCCCTCTTCCATGGATATTCCATGCCCTGGGGGTGCAGGGACCCCCCTTCAGGGTGACCCCGGCTGCCCATGGGGTGCAGTTTGCGGCTCTTTGCTCCCACCCCGCTGACGGATCCGCGATTCCCGGAGGAATTTGGATCCCCGGGGATCAGGGAAGCGGCGCTCCCCGCGCTCTGCGCGCTCCCGCCGCTCCCGGGGGCGGAATGGGAAGAGGAAGGGAAACTCCCGGGGGAGGGACGGGAGCTCCGGAGAGCCCCGGGAGAGCTCCGGAGGGATCGGATCCGGCGGATGTTGGTGTGGAACCAACCGGGCTGCGGGGCGGGAGGGCTGGGGTGCGACACTGGGGTGCGGGAGTGCAGGATTGGGGTGCAAAGGTGCAAAATGACATGTTTGGGGTGCCGGGCGCAGGTAGAGGGACGCAGGATTGGGGTGCAGGGAAGGATTGGGATTCAGGGAAGCAGGATTGGGGTGCAGGGAAGTACTGGGATTCAGGATTGGGATTTAGGGGTGCAGGGCTCTCCAGCCCCTCCGCGCCCCAGTGCTGCTTTGCAGGACCTGAGGCTGACACCCCCGCAATTTAGGGACAAAAATGGGGTTTCAGGCTGGCGGGGGGGGGCTCGTCCCCGCGTCCCCACACCGGGATCCCTTGGGGACATCACGGGGTGACCCGCGGGGCTGGCTATGACACGTGGCAGGGACAAAAGGGGCAAGGCAGGCAAAGTGTCTGCCAAGGCTTTGCCAGTCCCGCGTCACCCCCAGGGGACAGCGAGCGGGTCTCGGTGTCCCCAGCTGCGCCGTGTCCTCGCTGGTGCCCATGCCAGTGGCTCCGGGGTTGTCCCCGGGGCTGGCAGCACCCCGGGTGGCACCTGGCTGGCAGTGTCCCCAAGCCGGCAGTGACGTCCTGTGGGACGTGCTGAGCCAGCCTCTCCCTCGCAGCGGATCCCGCAGCTCCGGGGGCCGGAGCGGCCCTCGGGAAGGATGTTCCCCGCGCCGGGATGCAGGAGGGGCTTCCCCAGGGAGGTACGTGCGGCTGGGGGGCTCCTGGAGCTCTCCTGGGGTTCTGGATCTCTCCTGGAGCTCTCCCAGGCTCTCCTGGATCTCTCCTGGATCTCTCCCAGGCTGTCCTGGATCTCTCCTGGACTCTCTTGGGACTCTCCTGGATCTCTCCTGGACTCTCTTGGGACTCTCCTGGATCTCTCCTGGACTGTCTTGGGACTCTCTTGGGACTCTCCTGGATCTCTCCTGGATCTCTCCCAGGCTGTCCTGGATCTCTCCTGGACTCTCTTGGGACTCTCTTGGGACTCCTGGGGTTCTGAATCTCTCCTGGGCTCTCCTGGATCTCTCCTGGATCTCTCCCGGGGCTCTCCTGGTGCAGGGTGGGAGCCCAGCAGCGCCCCGGGGTCACCGTGGGTACCCACTCCTCCATCTCCATCCCTGGGGATGCTGAGGATGCAGGAGAACATCACGGTTTGGGGAGGAATCCGGGATCACCTGGGCTCCCCCAGCGCAGCCCGGTGGGCTCCTGGCTCCCCATCCCTGCCGGGACGAGGCTGCTCGGGGGTCTCACGGCTCTGATCTCTCCACAGCCCGCCCCGTGGTGGGATGGGCCATGGCCCCGTCCCCCTGCCGGCCCCGAGGACACCTGGGACGAGCCACCCTGGGACGAGCCACCCTGGGACGGGCCACCCTGTGATGGGCCACACTGTGATGGGCCACCCTGGGACGGGCCACCCTGTGATGGACCACCCCAGGATGGGCCACCCTGGGATGGGCCACCCTCGGATGGGCCACCCTGGAATGAGCCACCCTGGAATGAGACACCCTGGAATGGGCCACCCTGTGATGGACCACCCTGTGATGGACCACCCTGGAATGGGCCACGCCGGGATGGGCCACCCTGGGAGCACCAGCCCAGGAGATGGCGGCGCAGGAGGCACCCGGTAAGGGACAGGGCTGGGGGGAGATGTCCCCAGGGATCGTCAGAGTTTGTCAGGGAGACCCTCCCAAGTCACAGCAAGGAGCCCCTGGTTCCCTAAACCCCATCCCCAAAACCGGTCTGGACACGTCTGGATCCACTCGTGGTCCCCCAGGCTCAGACAGGAGTTTGTGGCTTTCTAAATTCCCAAAAGGAGTCTGGAAATGTCAGGATCCAGCTGTTTGTGTCCACAGCTTCCTCCCCACCAGGATTAAGAATGGCAAAACAAATACATCTAAACAGGTTAAATAGATAATTTATTTCCATGGATGATTGGAGTAAAGGATCTCCATGAGTGCAGTGGGGATGGTGCTGTGAATGAGGTCCTGTATGTCCAATTTAATAACCCACAAAATTAGAACTTAGCAGCAGTTTTATTTGAGCAGCAATTTTATATAAAAGGAATACAATTCAGTAAGCATGTAAGAAGTAAATTTGGCAGTGATTTCAAGGCTGATTCCTTAATTATCCCAAGGCCTATTCCATTTTGGGATGTTACTTATCTCAAACTACATTCTGTATCCTATTTTCTCATGAACCACTGAAAACATCTGTTTTGTGACACTAATTACATATTTTTTCCTCTATTACTTTTTAACAAATATTTTCTAAAATATCAATATACAATATAATTGTCAGCATGAATCACATTCATTTATCACAATGGTTATACCAGGGCACTGCTAATTAAATCAATAGTTTCAAAGTTAATTAGCAATTACAGCTCGGATTGATGTTGCTCACCCAGACCCACACAAATCTCTTTGGCTCACTCCAGGAGTGACCCTGAAGAGCTCCAGAAAGGAATCCACACTCACTCCTGGGAGGGCTGTGCTGGAAATTCCCCTGTTCAGAAGTGGGATTCAGCCTTTGCAGCATGGAATGAGAGATGTTGGGGGTTTTGTGGAGCATTTGTCCTTAAAAAAAGCAAATTGCTGCCCTCTGGTTCCTCCCAGGAAACATCTGCCCCTGTTCCCTGGCAGTGCCAGCTGCTCTCGGGGTTTCACATCCTCGTGGGGTTTCGTTTTGGGATGTTTGAGTCAGGCTGCTCTCAGCCTGTTCCCCCCTCCACTGCTGCTGATTTTCACAGCGAGGTGAGATCTGAGCTGGTTCACCCTAATTGCATCCCACTGCAAAGGGGCATTCACCCACAAATCCAGGGCAGCCCGAAGCAGGAGAGGCACAAAGAGCCGAGGGTCACAGTGGGGAGGGGGAGCAGTGAGAAATCCCAAAATTCCCGGTGGGCTGTGTCCTCACTGTCCTGTTCCCATTGCAGCCCAGTCCCAGAGCCCCCAGACCCTTCCCTGGCCCTGCGGACGCCCCGTGGAAGGAGGAGGAGGAGGACAGGAGGTGGGCACCCCGTGACTGTCCCCAGCCACCCCCCTGGGATGACAGGGAGCCCATCCCAGGCCCTGAGGATGACTTCGGAGAGTGCTGGTACCAGGTGAGGCGTGCTGGGCTGGGCGTGGTGGCAGCCACAGGAGCCAGTGGCTAGAACGGGGCAGGGGCCACTCACTGCCCTGGTGACAAGGACAGTGTGTGGGGACCCTGAGCAGTCACAGCGTGAGGGGTCATTCCCTAAAGCCAGCCTGTCCCTGCAGGATCCACCGCCTGACCCCTGGCCCGAATACCCCGAGGAGGAGCAGCCCCCGCCCTGGCCCCCCGCCCGCCCTCCAGGGTGGGTGCCATACCCTGGGGGGACCCTGTGGGGTGACAATGAGTGACACCAGCACCGCTGCAAGCTGTCCCTGCCTAGGCTGGGATTGCCAGAGACCCCTCCCCAACCCAACCCCCCGCCCTGGGGCTGTGCTCCTGCAGGAATTTGGGGACATTCCGTGAGCACCGCCCGCCCTGGAGCCACCGCCCGGCCGCCAGACCGCGGGGCCACCTCCGCCAGCTGATCCTGGTCCCCCGGGCGTGGTGTCCCCGACCCCCCCGAGGTGTGTGCTGCCCCCGTGCCGGCTCCTCGGTGCTCTCCTGCCTCTCCCAGGCCAGGCTGAGGAGTCTCTGCCGCTGTTTCCCACCCTGCAGGGCACAAGCCACACTCCAAGCCCTCCTGTCCTGCCCCTTCCAAGAGGAGCCAGCCCGAGGCCAGGAAGGAGCCGCAGCCCCCGGAGCCCCCCCGGCCCCCTGCTCCTCCCCAGGGTGCTGCAGAGAGGCTGGAACAGCCACAGGTGAGGGGTTTTACCTGTCCCCCCCATCCCACAGCAGGAGTGTGCTCACCTGAGCCTTGCACGCTGTCCTGGTTTCCTGCAGGATGTGCCAGTGGGGACTGGGGGTGTCCTGGAGCCCCCCAGTCCGGCCAGGAGCCCTCTGGAGAGCCCAGCTGCTGATCCTGGTGCTGCAGAGCCACTGGTAGGAGATTCCCCTGTCCAGGGGTGCTCCCAGCTCTGGAGCTGCCTGGCTCAGGGGTCTCCTTGGCTGCTGGGACATCTCCCTGCTCTCTGATCCAGCCCTTCCCCTCTCCACCTCGCTGTCTCTTTGCCAGGCATGGAGTTTTTCCAGGCTTTTCTCCATGGTTTCCTGTGGGTTTCAGCACCCTGTCCATCCCATCCCATCCCATCCATCCTGATCCATCCTATCTATTCTATCCATCCCATCCCATCCCATCCTATGGATCCCATCCTATGGATCCCATCCCATCAATCCCATCCCATCCTAACCCATCACATCCTATGGATCCCATCCCATCCCATGTATCCCATCCATCCCATCAATCCCATCCCATCTCATTCCATCAATCCCATCCTATCCCATCCCATCAATCCCATCCCATCTCATTCCATCAATCCCATCCTATCCCATCCCATCCATCCCATAAATCCCACCCCATCCCATCAATCCCATCCCATCCCATCCCACACATGTCCTCATGCCTGGGTTTCAGCACCCTGTCCATCCCATCCCATCCCATCCCATCCCATCCCATCCCATCCCATCCCATCCCATCCATCCTGATCCATCCTATCTATTCTATCCATCCCATCCCATCCCATCCTATGGATCCCATCCCATCAATCCCATCCCATCAATCCCATCCCATCCTAACCCATCCCATCCTATGGATCCCATCCCATCCCATGTATCCCATCCATCCCATCAATCCCATCCCATCTCATTCCATCAATCCCATCCTATCCCATCCCATCCATCCCATAAATCCCACCCCATCCCATCAATCCCATCCCATCCCATCCCACACATGTCCTCATGCCGTTGCCTGTCCCCAGGTGGAGCTGGAAGCTGGGCAGACCCCTGTGGGCAGCCAGGATCATGATCCCTGTGCTCCAGGAGCAGAGCCAGCCCCTCCAGAGGAGACCTCCAGGAATCCTGAGATCCAGGAGCGCCTTGAGGTATGGGACTGCTGGGGAGGGGCACAGGGTCAGCTCCAGGCTCCCCAAATCCTCCCCACCAGCAGCACACTGCTTCCCCTGGGGATGTTTTCTGTTCCCACCCTAAAGCAGAGCCTGCAGGGAGGCACAGCCCCCTCCTCAAGCCCTTTGTCCCCCCACTGTGGACTCCACAATGCCCCCGCACAGTGTGAGGAACTAATCCCACTCCTCTGAAATCTGGAGAGTTTAGTAAGAGATGATAAATAAGGGACTAATCAGTAAAGCAGAAGTAACAGTGCTGGGTGCCTGGCTGTAGCCAGAGGCACACACACTGTTCAACTGGCACTTTGTGCACTGCAGTTGCATGACTTCCTCAAATTTCTTGGCACATTCTCAGGGCAAGCTGGCCACAGCTTCTCCCTGGATTGAATTAGGGTCCAGCAGTGCTGAATCCACTGCTGCAGGGTCTGAGGGTCCATCCAGGCACTCCAGGGTGCTCCTCTGGTGGTCTCCTGATGCCACTTTAGAGCTGGCATTCTCTTTTTATGGTATTTTGTTCTCTGCTTGTGCTATCTTGGTTATATATTTTGCAAGAGGGGTTATCTCCTGTCACAGCCTTGCTTTGTGCACATTTTCAGTTACACAGCCCACAAAAGCGATTACAAATTTGTCTTCTGTCTAAAAGCAGTTACAATTTATAAGCAATTACCCTTTTTAATAATAATTTGACAAAGCATTGCAGTGAAAGCCAAGTTCACCCAGCTGTTGATAACACACAGGTGGAGCCGTGCAGCCCCGGTGTCCCCAAGGCTGGCAGTGCTCATGGCTCACATCCCCAGAGCCCAGCAGACCCTGCCAAGAGGGAACTCCTGGACTCCAGCTCCTCTGGAGAGGCAGGGGCTGAGCTCAGCCCGCATTCCTGGGAGCAGCTGCCCCATGGAGCTGGAGAAACTGAGGCAGAAGGTGCCCAGGATGGGGTGAGTTTGGGACGTGGGGCAGCTCCGTGTCCCCACCCTGTGAGGCCAGCGGGGCCGTTCTGCCAGCTCTGTCCCCCTGTCCCAGCACAGCCACTCTCTGTCCTCAGCCTCTGCAGAGCCTTCAACCTCCTGAAAACCTTCAGCTTCCTCCAGAATCTGCAGCAGAACCCGAGGCCCAGCCCAGCCAGGCTTCACCAGAGATCTCCCCGGGGCCCCAGCCTGGGGCCGGTGAGACAAATCTGGTACGGGGTCTGGGTGTCCCCTAGGCACCCCAGGCACCCCAGTGTCCCCCTGGGCTTGCCACAGCCAGAGGGGGATCCCTGTGCCTGCAGGATCTGGGGTTAAAGGGCAGCTTTGTGAGGAGGCAGAGCCCGTGTCGGCCGCGCTGCCGTGCGATAACCGGGACACGGCTGGGAACAAAGCCAGGGAAGGAACCCGGGGCTCGGGAGTGCTGGAGCGTGAACAGCCCTGGAATGGAGCTCTGAGGAAGCCGAGGAGAACACTCCAGAGCAGCTTAATTACTGCTAACGAGGGAGAGAAGTTGGGGCAGAGAGGGAGCGGGGGTAGCTCTGGCGCCCGAGGGATGGGTGACAAACCAGTGGCTCCTTCCACAGGGTGACCAGTCCCAGGCTAGTGACCAGCACTGGCAGCCCCAGTTTGGCTCAGTCCCTTTCTCCTCTGAGCCTTCCTTGCCTTTTCCACCTCCCAGGCTGTGTCTGGCCAGCAGCAGCTCTGCTCAGTGCTCCCCACACCCTGCCCGGCCGGCATCGATCCCCGCTCCGCCGCCGTCCTCAGGAGGAAGGCAAAGATCGAGCTGGTGAGACCTGGCAGCCCTGGAGGGCACCTGGGGGTCTGGGAGCAGCTCCAGGATGGGGAATTTCACCTGGGGAGCTTTGGGAGCCATGCTGGGTGGTGGGGGGGTGTGAATTTGGCGTTTTGGGGGGCTTGCAGGGGGAGGTGCTGTAGGTTTGCAGGGGCTCGGATGATGTTTGGGGATTTGTGGACTAAAAGCAGGGGTGGCTTGGTGCTGGTTTTGGGGCGCTGACCCCGTGGCCCTCCCCTGCAGTCGTACCAGCAGTTCAGCCTGAGCATCGCCGTGGTGGCCACGATGCTGCTGCAGAAGGAGCCCTCGATGGAGGCGGCGCTGGGGCTGGCGCTCAGGGCCAACCTGCGCCAGTGCCGCCTGCACCACCTGCAGCAGCTGGAGGAGTTCATCGACAGCCTGGACTCGGGCACCCCCGGCCTCTGATGGCAGCCACCCCCTCCTGCCACGGGCTGGGGGTGATGGGGGCTGTGACAGCGCTGTGACAGCGCTGTGGGGTGCTCAGGAGGGGGATGAGCCTGCGGGACAAGGTGGGAGATGCTGGCAGCCCCACTGTGTCTCTTGGACAAGGAGGGTGAGTAGGGTATGTTTGGTTTTAGCCCTGCCCAAACCCCTGAGGGCAGCAAAAGTGTTACTGGTTTTACTGGAGGGAGGGCAGCAGTCCCTCTCCTCCATTGTTGACTGTCAGGGATGTGTCCCCAAACCCCAGCGAGTGTTTTTGGGTTTAAATCTACAAATAAACCGTGTCCTCTTTGCAGCCCTTGCTCTGTTCCCACTCTCCTGGGGCTGCAAGGGAGGGGTCCCACAGTGAACCCTGGCTGTGGCAGAGGGCACAGGTCACCCCTGGGGACCTCCCAGCCCTGGTGACAGTGTCACAATGGGCTGGGAAGGAACAGGGCAGACCCTAAGTTCAGATTTCAGCCAGACTTTATTGGAGCTTCGTCACTGGCGGCAGCAAAGCTGTGCCCCAGTCCCCTCCCCGTGGTGGCAGCAGGACACGGTGCCACCAGGGATGGAGAGCAGGTGGCACTGGGGCACAGAGCAGTCCAGGGAAGGATCCCAGGTGGTCCCCAGCAGTGGGGGGATGCAGGCAGCTGCCCTTGTCTGGAGCTCAGCTGCTCTCCGAGGCCGGCCCAGCCCTGCTCTCATCCTGCTTTACCTGTTCCTAATCACAGGAGAGGCTGGCAGGAACTTCAGGCTCTGCTCTGCCAGCAGCTGCCGGGGGCAAGGATCCCAGCAGCTTCTCCCACCAGCCTTGGGCCACCTCCAGGATGTGCTTGGAACGTGTTGGGGCCGTGGCAGGACCTGGCACTGCCACTCGGGGACCCCAGACCCGCTGTTAGGACACGCTGCAGTGCTTGGCCGTCCTGCTGCCCCTCCCCGGGGGCTCCCTGCCCAGGGAATTCATCCCGGGCTTGGGGATGGGCTTCCCGAAAAAGAAACCCTCCTCCTCCGAGTCTGAGTCCGAAGATGAGGAGCAGGTGGGACACCAGGAGTCGTCCTCCTCCGTGCCATCCTCTGCCCGGGGGCTGTGTCGGGGAGGGGAGGTGCCCGCTTGGAACTGTGGATTTCCATTGCCTGCAGCTCTCCGGGGTTCAGGGGCCCCCAAAAGCGAGTGGCCCAAGGCTCTGGGCTCGTTGGGCCGCTCTGGGCCAGGCTGGGGGGCCGAGGGGTGGCCAACTGGGGGTGCCAGCATCCCTGGGTGCTCCTTGGCAGCGTCGCTGCTCTGCTCCCGTGTGGCTGCTCCGAGATCCTCGGGGCTCCTGAAGGCCGGGTGCACTGGGGCCTGATCCGAAAACGCCTCTGGAAGAGGGGAAGTGGGAGTAAGGGAGGAAGGAGAAGCTGAGCCTGCCCTCCCACAGCCCTCCCACAGCAAGGGCTGTCTCGGGACACAACGGGGTGGCACCCACCCATGCCCAGCTCCCACCGTGGGGAGTTTATCACCTATTCCCACGGTGTGACATTCCCAAAAAAGTCCCCAGAGCCTGGATTTGCTCCCCTCCCACTCCATGGCAGCAGGATCCTACCAGCCCCAAAATCCCTGGATTTGCTCCCTCTCCCATCCCACCCCGTGGCAGCAGGATCCTACCAGCCTCAAAGCACCCAGAGCCTGGATTTGCACCCCTCCCACCCCACAACAGCAGGATCCTACCAGCCCCAAAATCCCTGGATTTGCTCCCCTCCCACCCCATCCAGCAGGATCCTACCATCCCCTTCCCCGCGCTGCCTGCAGCCCCCCGCTGCCGAGCTCCTGCCGGCCGCTCCGGCTCGGGGCAGGGGCGTGGAGTCGGGGGAAGGAGCGGAGGCGAAAGCCGAGTCGGAGGAGTCGGAGGCGGTGGAAGAGGCGTCCTGGCCGCGGCTGCAGGTGTCGGAGCAGAAGAGGCGGCCGCGGCGGCAGGTGAGGGGCTGTCCCCGCAGCGGTGCCCGGCACAGGCTGCAGCAGAAGCAGGCGGCTCGGGCGTGCCAGTGCAGCCCTTGGTGCGTGACCTCCTCGCTGTCAGCACCTGCGGGGCAGCCACAGGTGAGGGAAAGGTTCTTCAAAACCAAAAAAAACCACAAAAGCCAAAAAAACCACCCCAAAAAAAACCCAAAACCCAAATAAACCACCAAAAACCAATAAAAACCACCAAAAACCAATTAAAAAAAAAGCCAAAATCCATGCTGGAAGGGTCTGGGAGCCCCACGGGTTGGCGGCCATACCGATGGGGTCCCCGCACGCCTGGCAGGGCTCGGCAAAGAGGCTCTCGAAGCAGCCCCGGCAGCAGGGCCGGCCGCTGCGCATCACGTAGCGCTGCCCGCGCAGGGGCTCGTCGCACTCCAGGCAGCAGAAGTGCTCCAGGTGCCAGCGCCGGCCCTCGGCCTCGATGCACTCCTCCATGAAGATCAGCTGCAATGGGGAAAACGAGTGCCAGACTCAGCATGCCGCTGGAAACGCCGCGGTGCTTTGCTGTGCTGGGCGGTGAGGAGGAGCCCCCAGCACAGCAAAGGGGGTCTCAGGAGGGAATATTCCTCCAGCCCAGCAGTGGTTTTGATGGATTTGGAGCCCCCAGCCGAGCTCGGGAGTGTTTAACAGCCAAAGGGAGGTCAAAGGCTCCCCCTGCCCGGTACCCACCTGGTCGCAGGAGGCACAGCGGGGTCGGAAGAGCTCGGCGTGGTGCCGGCCGCAGTAGATCCTCCCATCCTGCTGGAAGTAGATGAGATCCACCAGCTGCTGGTGGCAGAAGTGGCAGGAGAAGCAGGACGGGTGCCAGAACTGGTCCCCCAGGCGAGACGCTGAAATCCCCGGGTCCCCTTTGTTGAGCCTCCGGCCGCACTGCAAGGCAGGGGGACACGAGGTTTGGGGCAGGGCTGGCTTTTGGGGACGGATCCCTGCCAGGGAACGGGTGCTGGAGGGGACAGCTCACCTTCCTGCAGGGACAGCCGTGGCAGGGACCCGGCACGGGACACGCCAGGCCCTGTCCCAGAGCCTCCTGTCTGCGGCGGGCGCTGAAGGCGCGGAGCTGGCGCCGCTCCTCCTCGGCCAGGCCGGGGCAGTACCGCTCCTGTGGGGCACGGGGGTCAGCGGCTGGCCTCTGAGGCCTTAGGATTTTGGGTTTTTATCTTTTCCATGCATTTATAATCCTGTAAGTCTTTAGTGTTTGACTCTAAACTCCATATGCAGTGTCAGCTGCTGAGTTTTGGGCAGACACAATTCCTCTCCAGGCCTGGGAATCAACAGCACCGCCTCAGGCCTGGGAGATGGAAACCAAAGGGAGTTGGGGGAGCAAACTGGGGGTCAATGACTTCATTACCTGAAGCTGTAATTGGAAAATTAACCCCCAATATGCAAATGGCCCAAACTTATAAAAGTGTGAAAACCCATGACCCGTGGTCCATTTTTGAGTGGGCTCCATCTGTCCTAAATGCACCTGACGGCCCTTCAATAAATAAACAAAACTGCTTTTTATCCCCTTAATTTGGTCCGGCCTGTGTTTTTAGGCAGTCTCCACATGAGGAGAGCCTGGGGAGGGGAGCAGCACCAGAGGAGGGGGTCTCACATCGCAGTCCTGAGGCGGCAGCTGCTGCAGGAGCGCTCTGGCGCGGAGCCGGCTCCGCTCTGAGGGAGAGCCCGGCGGGGGCGAGCGGGGCCCGAAGCACGGCGGGACCTGGGGACAAACAGCCATTTCAGCGGGGGATTAAACCGTGTTTGCGGCGCTAAAAATGTGCATTTAGCCCCAGAAACGGGGCGCTGCGGTGTGGGAAGCACGCGGGGCTGGGGGAGAGCAGGGTGCTGCCCACCTCGGGGGGCTCCAGGTACTCTTCCAGGGCACAGCCGGAGTCGCTGTCGGACGAGGCCGGGGGGAGACCCCCGGTGGTGCCGCAGGGGGAGGGCTCGTCCCGCTGGGGCCATGCAGGGCTCGGCAGGGACATCAGCTGGGGACAGAGAGCCACAGGGGTCAGACACGGGGGAAGGGAGCAGGGATCCAGCCCTGGACACGGATCCTGTGTCCCGGTGGCAGCAGGACAAGCAGCTCCTCGTCCCTTGCAGGGACACTGGGGCACGTCCAGCTGGGATGATGCTCCAAGGCACCAGGACCTCGAGATTTTTGGCTGAACACTGCAGGAATCCAAGGGATTTTTGGGGGGCTCCCCTTTGGAGGTTACAGCAAATCCACACCGAGGATAAGGGCAGCTGGCAGGGCTGGGGCTTTGAGCGGAATGGGATGGGATGAGATCCATGGGATAGGAGGGGATGGGATGGGATGAGATCCATGGGATGAGAGGGGATGGGATCCATGGGATGGGAGGGGATGGGATGGGATCCAGGGGATGGGATGGGATCCATGGGGTGGGATGGGATCCATGGGATGGGGATGGGATAGGATGGGGATGAAGCCAGGCAGGGAAGAAGCTCAAACTGGAACAGGTTTTGGAAAACAGCAACACCCACAGCAGGAGCTTTCCCCCCCTGCCATGGCTAATCCCAGGTCCAGTGGCCCATCCCTGAGTGGGAACAGTCTGAGGTTGAGCCCAATTCAGTGGAAAATAATTCCTTTCCCTCAGGCTGCCATTGTTCTGCCCAGGGCTGTTCCTGCCCGGCTGTCCCAGCCCACAGCACACGCCTGGCTCGGGGTTAGGCACTGGAAACCCATCCGGAGCCGTCCCCTCCTCCCCAGGCGGGCTCTTTCCACCGCCGCGCTTCCTTCCTGCTCCGGCTTCCCAAAACAAAGGCGAGATGCTGATGTGGTGGCTCCTGGGGTTCCCTGGATGCCAGCCCAGAGCCTGACGCCCTCAGCCCGCGCTTCCTGCCCTGCCACGGGGAGCCAGGGTGGGATGGAGGGGGAAATCACGGGGCTGTGATCAAACACGCCCAGGGATTCACCCCTGCACCGCCCACCACCGATGGATCAACGCCTGTGGAAAACGTTCCATGCATAAAACAGTCTCAGGGATGAGGGGTGAGAACCCCCAGAGCACGAAATTTTGGTCCTCCTACACCTCTGCCACCACGAGGACCCGTTCCCTGCTCCACACTGGGATGTGCTGGTGTGTCCCCCCTGCCAGGGACATCCCAGTGTCCCCACTGCTCCCAGCAAACACCTCCAGCCCTTCCCGAGGGTGCTGGGCTGTGCCAGGGGCAGCTCTGGAGCAGGTGGGATCAGCCGGGGCAGCTCAGGTTTCCCTGCCCTGCTGCCGGGTCAATGATTAACGCTGCAGATCGGCTAATCAGAGAGATAAAACAAAAGGCCTCCTGGCTTTTTCCTGCCGTTTGGGGTCTGGAACCCTGGGGCAGCCCGGGGGGGCGCAGGGCTGGTTGTAGGGTGCTGTTCAAAGCTGTGCTTTGGGATAGGGATGAAATAATCTGGCTTGACTGGGTGTTTGCTGCCCAAAAAGAGCCCTGGCCTTGCTGAGGGACCACAGCTGGGCCAGGGAGCAGCCTTGGCTCTACAGGAGAAGCAGGGTTGGGGGAGACCCTGGCATGCCGAGTGGGGACCCTGGTGTTCAGCCCCAGCTCCGCTGCTGCCCTGCTTTGGGAAAGGTGCCCCCGTTTCTGCCTCCCGTGGGAGGTGCTCCTCTTCTCGGGCTGTGCTTGCTCATTAATCCTCCAAGCTGCATTTGTGTAATCTCTTGGAACCATGCTGTTAATTAAACCCCTGCGATGCTCTGGGGACTCGGGGGGGCTGGCGGTGCCAGCCTGGCCCCAGCCCCGAGGGGCACAGGGACCCCATCCCAGGGCCACCAGCACGGTGGGGTGACACCGGGGGAGGGCGGCTCGGGCAGGGCTCCCGGCTGCCGTGAACGCACGGGGATGTGCCGGAGAGCCCAGCCCAGCCCGGTTTGATGCGATTACGCCGGCTGGCAGCCGTCTGGGCTGTAAACAAGTCCCTGTAATTAGCCCCAGACGGTGACAGAGGTACGCGCCTCCCATGCTAAAGAGCCAGGCAGCCCCGACAGGTCTGGCTCCTCTGCTCCCCGGGCCTGTCCCCTCTTCCTTCCTGCCCTGCCTCGCTGCCTCCGGGCACTCCCGGTGCCTCCCTTCCCTGCCAAGGGATACAGGGATGCTCCCAGCCTGGGGGGAGGTGGCACCGTGGTGGCACTTTGGGGGAGCTGCCTCTCCCTGCCAGCAAGTCCCCGAGAAGGGACGTGTGACAGACCAGTCGGGCAGGCTGGGTGGCACTGGCTGGCATTTGCCTTGGCTGCAAATCCTCTGTCCTGCCTGTGGGAGCTCCTCCGGATGCGTTTGCCCGCGCTCCTCTGGCTCTCCAAAGGATCGGAAGCCGTCGCGGCTCCCTGGGTACAAAGAGGCTGAAATTCCTGGGAATACTAATCTGATTTGGCTCGCCGGGAGCAGCCCCCGTCTCCAGCTGGCTGTGGGAGCCCGTGTGGGCTCCCAGCTCTCTGCTGCCAAGGTCACACATTAACTCGCAGCTCAGCCTGCTCAGAATTCAGCACAGGCTCCCTGCTCCCAGCCCGCCCAGGGAGCCGCATCCCTGCCTCGAATTTCCTTTTGCGGAGTCCCCAGGGAAACACAACGTCTCCAAAAAGCCCCTCAAAGCAGCACTGGCAGCTCCCAGGGGCGCAGCTCCACGCTGGCCTCACCCACGGGATAACCTGTTTGTGCTTGAGCTGCCGTCAACACAGCTGCGCTGCAGGAGCAGCAATAAAGCCGTGCAGCAATAAAGATGCAGAACAATAAAGATGCAGAGCAATAAAGATGCATCTTTTGGGGCGAGATAAGCTGAGGTCTGGCAAGGAGAGCCGGAGCAGCAAGTCCTGCCCGACCTGGAGCCGGTCTCACCGAGGAGCCCACGGTGCCTTTTTGGACCTGGGGTGGCACCAGGTGGAGCAGCCCTTGGTGCCACCGCTGGGCACAGCAGAGTCGTGGCTTTAAAAACGCCTTTGCAGCCCCTCAAATGATGGGGGAGGGTCTCAGCATCTTGCTCTGATCCACGGTGCACCGTGGCACCAGAGGGGACCGTGGCCTGCTGGCTCACCAGGGGATGCGCCAGGGCTGCCAAAGCCTTTTCCTGCTGTGTTTTCCCTCCGTCCCGCAGGCACGGCAGGGAGCTGTAACCCATTAACCCACCCTGGCTCGCCCATTCCTGCCCCCGCAGGTGCGGACCGAGACCCCCGCCCCTCCTCTCCCTGCGGCCACCGGGATGGAGATTCGCGACCCCTCCTCTCCCCGCGGCCACTGGAGTGAAGACCCCTCATTCCACCCCTCCCCGCGACCACAGGGATGAAGATTCGCGACCCCTCCTCTCTGGTGACCACCAGAACGAAGCCCTCCACCCCTCCCTGTGGCCACCAGACTTCATCCCGGCAGGTCCAAGGGGTCCCAGCTCCATCCCCTTTCTCGATTTATCCCGTTCCCGGCCAATCCCAGCTGGAGCGGGGATGGTGGAAGCAGCACCTGCCCGCTCCGGGCTGGCAGAGCCTGCCACGATGGAACGGGCGTCACCTCCTGCTCTCAGGGGACATTTCCCGAAAACAAAGACCGCGGGGACAGCGATATTATCTCCAAACAGCCAAAATCCCCCTGATCTGCCTCATTCCCTTCCCCTTCCCCTCTCAGCAGGACCCTCCCGCTGCCCCCTCCTCTGCATCTCCCTCTCCCCCACCTCCATCTCCCCTCGGAGCTGGGAGAGCCGAGCCCGGCAGTCCCTTCAGTCCCTTCCAGCCGCACTTTTTGCCGTACCTGCCCTTTCCCGGCGCTCCGGGCCCCGCTCTCCGCCGCTCCGGGCTTGGCCGCCCGCTCCAGCCCCGCGCCGGCCGCCGCCGTCCCGCCCTGCTCCGGAGGACGCCAGGGAATGGAGCCTGGGCTGGGAAAACTTTGCAAAGCGAAAGGAAAACATCCAAGCTCAGGCAGGGAAACACTTTTTTTTTTTTTTTTTTTTCCCCTGCCTGCCCAGGCACTGGCTCCGCGGCAGCCGGGGTCCTAATTAGAGGCTTTTTAGCCTAAACCTCGGGAGCCAGCCAATGGCTGGAATTCCAGGGCAGGCAGGGAGGGGAAGAGGGGGGAGGACATTAACCCTACAGGGGAAAGAGCTGCCGATGACATCTGGCTCGCTCCTACCTCTCATTTTCCGAGCGCCCGCGCCCTGCCCTCCATCTGCGGCTCGGTTCACCCCAGGTTGCCGTTTGATGACTTTTATGATCCCGCGCGGTGATTTATTTCCCTGCCGAGATCAGAAAGAGTTGAAGCTTCATGAAAGAGGGGGAAGTGTCATTACACCCCAATTTAGAGGTGGAGAAACTCTGGCTGGGCTCTCACAAAGGAGTTAGCCAGCGGCAAGTCAGGATGTCCCAGTTTCCACAAGCCCTGCACACCTGACGAGGCTCCTCGAGCCATTCCAGACCGGCTCCGGCTGCAGCAATTCCACCCGGGCAGGACTCAGGGGAAAATTTCTCAGAGCCAGACGCGAGGCACAGCGTCCTGCTTGTGTTTCTTACCATGCTGTAAGATTTTCCTGCCCGCTGATGTGACTTTGGGGATGAGAATTGTCACAGCATCCCCAAAACCCCCAAAATCTGCAGGGACCAGGCTGGATCTCTGCCACCTGCGTGGTCCCGGGAGCTGTGGCTCGTTTTGGGAGCCCTGAGGGGTGCAGATGGCTGGTGTTGGTGCTGGGATCAGGGCTGGGGCTGCACCCAAGAGCACAGGGGTGGTGATTTGGAGGTGCCAGGCTCCGTGACAAGCCCGTGGCACTGCTGGGTGAGGCCAGGCAGGGCGGTGCTGGGGCACAGGTTATGGTGCTGCTGCTTTATGGAAGTGGTTGCCCCATCCCTGGAAGCGTCTGAGGCCAGGTTGGATGGGGTTTGTTATGCCTTCTTAGGATTTTAGCTTTTATCATTTCCATACATTTATAATTCTGCAGTTCTTTAGTGTAAAACTCTGAACTCCAGAGTCAGAGTGAGCTGCTGATTTCCCATTTTTACAAAACCATTCCTCTCCAAGGAATCAAGGACACCTCACTGCCTCAGGCCCAGAGAGATGTAAACAAAAGTGATTTATTTGGGGGGAGCAAACTTGGGCTCAGTGACTTCATTACCTGAAGCTGTAATTGGAAAATTAACCCCCAATAGGCAAATGACCCAAACTTATAAAAGTGTGAAAAGTGTGCTCCATTTTTGGGTGGGCTCCATCTATCCTAGATGCACCTGAAGGCCCTTCAATAAATAAAACTGCTCTTTATTTTCTTAATTTTACTTGGTCTCTGTTTTTAGGTAGCCTGGATACCTAAATATCCAGGTATATCCAGGTACCTGAGTACCTCCCACTTGGAGCAGCCTGGGATAGTGGAAATGGTCCCTGTCCATGGCAGAAAAGGGATTTTTAAAGTATCTTCCAGCCCAAACCATTTGAGGATCCTCTGCACAATCCCCTGAGCTGGGGGAGAATCAGCAGGAGGAGGAGGAGGGGAGAGCCACCGTGGCTGTCACTGCCCAGGGTCCCTTTGATGTCCCCACGCTGTTTTTCTGCTGTTTTTCGCTGCGAGCCCTGACCCTGCAGCTTTACCTTGGCTCGGAGCTGTTTGGACTTTGTCCCCGCGGGTGGTGACAGGGCCCCCCCTCATCCCCTGCTCCCCCCGCGCTCCCCCATCCCTCCCCAGGCCGGATGGATCCCTGGGCAAAGTCCTCTGGGCACGGAGGGGACAGACAGGTCACCGCGGCTCTCCCGAGGTGGCACCGGCCACTGCGACATGGCGACAGCCCGGGGCGGCGCGGCGGCACCGGCGTGCGGCCGCGGTGTCCCCTCGGAGGCAGGACACGGCTCGGTGGCTCCGTGTGGCCGCGGTGTCCCCAGAAAGGGCAGGACACAGCGAGGTGGCTCCGTGTGGCCGCGGTGTCCCCAGAAAGGGCAGGACACGGCCAGGTGGGTCCGTGTGGCCGCGGTGTCCCCTCGGAGGGAGGACACGGCCAGGTGGGTCCGTGTGGGAGCGCTGGGATGAGGAGCTGGCAGCTCCCCCGATGCCCCTCTAGAGTCTCTGTCTACTCCAGACCCCCCAAATCCCCCTCCAGTGACCCTTCCAAGAGCAACCCCCTGGCTCTGATCCCCAAATCCCCCTCCACCGACCCCTGAGAGGATCCTTCCATCCCAGACCCTGAAAATCCCCCTCCAGTGACCCTTCCTTGAGCAACCCCCAAACCCAGAGCCCCAAGTTCCCTTCCACTGATCCCCCCCAGCCCCTCTCCCTCCCCAGCCCCCCAAAACCCTTTCCCTGACCCCCCAAACCCCTCCACTGACCCTCCAAACCCTCCCCAGACCCCCAAAACCCTTTCACTGACCCCCCAAGGGCCGGGCCGGGGGCCCCGACACGCTCCGGGCCCCGGGAAGGGCCGGGCCGGGGGCCCCGACGTGCTCCGTGCTCCGGGAAGGGCCGGGCCGGGGGCTCCGGGCCGCAGGTCCCGGACGGCGGAGCCGGGAGCGCCTCAGGTACCGAGCAGCGCCTGGAGCGGGGCCGGGCATCGCCCCCGCCCCCTCCCCTCGTGCCCTCCCCGGGTGCCCCGGCTGCCCCTCGCAGCCAATTCCCCGGAACCCCCCGGGACTCGCCCCTTCCTCAGGGCCCTCGTCCCCACGGGCTCTGCAGGCCCGTCCTCATCCCTCCATCCCCATCCTCCTCCCTCCATCCCCGTCCTGCTCCCTCCATCCCCGTCCTCATCCCTCCATCCCTGTCCTCATCCCTCCATCCCCGTCCTCATCTCTCCATCCCCGTCCTCATCCCTCCATCCCTGTCCTCATCCCTCCATCCCCGTCCTCATCTCTCCATCCCCGTCCTCATCCCTCCATCCCTGTCCTCATCCCTCCATCCCCGTCCTCATCTCTCCATCCCCGTCCTCATCCCTCCATCCCTGTCCTCATCCCTCCATCCCCGTCCTCATCTCTCCATCCCCGTCCTCATCCCTCCATCCCTGTCCTCATCCCTCCATCCCCGTCCTCATCTCTCCATCCCCGTCCTCATCCCTCCATCCCTGTCCTCATCCCTCCATCCCCGTCCTCATCTCTCCATCCCCGTCCTCATCCCTCCATCCCTGTCCTCATCCCTCCATCCCCGTCCTCATCTCTCCATCCCCGTCCTCATCCCTCCATCCCTGTCCTCATCCCTCCATCCCCGTCCTCATCTCTCCATCCCCGTCCTCATCCCTCCATCCCTGTCCTCATCCCTCCATCCCCGTCCTCATCTCTCCATCCCCGTCCTCATCCCTCCATCCCTGTCCTCATCCCTCCATCCCCGTCCTCATCCCTCCATCCCCATCCTCCTCCCTCCATCCCCGTCCTGCTCCCTCCATCCCCTTCCTCATCCCTCCATCCCCTTCTTCCTCCCTGCAGCCCCTCCTCAGTCCCCCATCCCTCTCCTCTTTCCTCCATCCCCTTCTCCTCGCCCCTCCTGCCCCCAGAGCTGTCCCCCTGCTCCCTCCTTCTCCCGGGAGGACATGTTGGCTCTGTCCCCCTGTGTCCTGGAGGGGTTGATGTGGGACCAGCTGCTTTTCCACACGAGGTGTCCGTCTGTCCCTGTGCAGGGGGTGTCAGGGTGCCCCCCTGACCCTTTGGGATTACGGGAACTTCTCCAGCTCTGCGTTTAAGGGGGGTGAAGGCACGAGGGGCTTCTGCAGGTTGGGGGTTTGGGAGGATGGGAACTACCTGGGAATTTGGGAGAGCCTGGTCCAGGCGGGGCTGAGGAGGATTTGGGTTGGGATCCTGGGAGTCTGGATGGGGCTGGTGGCCTTAGGAGGGACCCAGTCCTGCTGTGGGGACCGTGCTGGGCTCTTGGGGTGGTTTTAGGGACTGGCTGGGCTCTGGACTGGCAGACAGGTGAGCTGGAAGTGCGCAGCAGGAGCCTGGAGAGTCGGGAATCTCAGTGGCTGTGTGGAAGGAATGCTGCTGAGGGAGAGCTCAGGGAGCTCCTGGTGGTTTTTTAGTTCATTTGTTCAGTTTTCAGTGTAAAAACTGTCCTTGGTAAGCCAGAGCACTTCAGGCTGACCCCTCACAGATGGGGGTGGAGGGAGAGGAATGAAGAAAGAAGAAAAGGCAGAATGTTTTCTCCCAGCTGTTATTCCTGAGGGAATTGCTGGGGTGGGAGTGGGAGAGCCCAGCCGGAGAGGAGCCAGCCCCCAGTGCCCAGATCAGAGCTGTGCTCTGGCTGCCCAAAGCCTGAGAGGGGAATCAATCCCTGCAGAGCCCAGGGGCAGCAGCAGGCTGGGCTGGCTGGGGCAGGGTGTGGGGTGGCACGGGGAAGGTGTGGTGCTGCTCTAGGGCTGGCAGCTGTGTGCAGGAGGGCAGCTGGCACCGGCTTTGTTTGTTCTCAGCTTGCACAGAAAGAAACTTTCCTCTCCTGGGCACTTGGCAGGGCTGGGGCACGGTGGGGAATTCTCCAAGGGCCAAAGGGAAGGCACAGAGGTGCAGTGGGAGGTGATTTATGGAGCTGTTTTGATGTGAGAGTGGAATGGGACCCTTGGGCAGCTCCAGTGGGGCTCTTCCCCCTCCCTCCACACTGGAAGGGACCCAGGGCAGCTCTGCCACTCTGTGATCTGGGCTTTCACTGGGAGGAGGGGGAGGCAGAGTCTGGCAGAGGGAGAGAGGAAATGGAGAGTCCCAAGGGAAAGAGAGTCCCAAGGGAAAGAGATTTCCAATGGAAAGGTTTCCAATGGAAAGAGAGTCCCAATGGAAGGAGGTTCCAAATGGAAAGAGGGTCCCAATGGAAAAAGGTTTCCAGTGGAAAAAAGTTTCCAGTGGAAAGAGGTTCCAAATGGAAAGAGGGTCCCAAATAAAGATATTTCCAGTGGAAACAGAAAAACCTCCAATGGAAGGAGGTTTCCAATGGAAAAAAATTTCCAAAGGAAAGAGGTTTCCCAATGGAAGGAGGTCCCAAATAGAAAGAGGGTCCCAGATAGAGGTTTCCAGTGGAAAAAAGTTTCCAGTGGGAAGAGGTTCCAAATGGAAAGAGGGTCCCAAATAAAGAGATTTCCAGTGGAAACAGGGTCCCAATGGAATGAGGTTTCCAGTAGAAAGAGGTTTCCAATGGAAAAAAAAATAGCAAAGGAAAGAGGTTTCCAATGGAAGGAGGTCCCAAATAGAAAGAGGGTCCCAGATAGAGGTTTCCAGTGGAAGGAGGGTCCCAAATTGCCATTTCCTGCCCTGGTGCCAGGCTGGGGATCCTGGTGGATCAGGTGGAGACCCTGAGCTGCTCTCAGGGCACACCTGGCATCATCCCCTGTCACCTGCCCACGTTCCCATCAGGGATAGCAGAATTTCTCTTTTCTCACTACAATTTAAACAAAACCCCAGGAGTATTTCTCACCGTGAGTGCAAACCACAGGAGCGTTCCTCACTGCCTCCTCCCTGCCTGATCCTCACCCTGACTGGGTCAGATACCAGAATTTTTGTGTTTTCTGGGTCAGATATCAGAATTTTTATGTTTTCTAGCCTTTTTTTTTTTTGTTTTGCTTCTCCTACTCCAAAGCAGAGCAGCTGCTGGTTCTCTGACCCTGAAGGACCTTCCCTGCAGTGAAGGCACCTTCACATTCCTCAGCAGCAGCAGCTGCCTCACCACCCTGGCTGCTCAGTTTTATTTCCTTCACCCTGGTAAACCCCATTCCTCTGTAGAATCCCAAAGCCAGGAAATAAAATATCTCTTATTTAATTTTTTAAAATTTATTTTTAGCTGTTTATTTGTCATTGTTGTGCAGAGTTTTCTGTGTTGATATAAATGTAATTAATTAAACACAAAATGCACCTGCTTTCCTTGGGTTGTCTGAAGGGAAGTTCAGTCACTTTCCCACCCCCTGCTTTTTAATGTTCTCTGCTTTTATCATTGTTTAATTGTGTTCTCCTTGCCAGGTGGAAGATGGGAGTGTTCCCCTCATGTTTTAGGTGAAACTGCTTGCCATGAAATCCTGAGGGAGACAGAGGGACTGCAGTGGGAATTCCTTCTCACTCCTCCACAACAAATCCAACAACTGCCTAATGGTAAGAATTGGTTTTAATTAACATTTATAACATTAATTAAAGAGTTGGAGCTCCAGGCCCACTGGGATGGGGAGGGCACAGCTGGAGATGCTGGGAGAGGGTGGGAGAGCTGGATTTGGGATCTGATTGTGCCACCATTTGTGTCCTGTCCCCAGGGATTGCCTCTCTGCCTGGCGTCATGGGGAGCTGCTGCAGCTGTCTGTGCACAGACAGCATCCCAGACAACCATCCCACCAAATTCAAGGTAAATTTTTGCCTTTCCAACCCCATCAGAGGGTCTGGGACAGCTCTGACTGCACGAGGGGAGAGCAGACTCCTGCCCCTGCTCACAAACATCCCTCCAGAGGATTTGCAAATTCATCACTTCTGGTTTGGGGTTTTTATTTCTCCCCTTTCCTTAAGAAACTCCTGCTGAAAATGTGTTTGTATTTGCTGCTAAATTGCCTCTGCTTGGGAAATGCAAGGAAATGGGGGACTGGAGAGAAAAACCTTTTATTGCTCAGGGCTGTGTTCCAGAGCCTGGGCTCAGCCACAGCAGCTGAGCTCGTGCCAGCCACGGATCCCTGCTGTCAGCTGGGAAAAAGGCAGCAGGAAATGGGGGGAATCCATGGAATTGCAGTGCTTGGGGCTGCTCAGGGACACCTGCAGCTCGGGGTGCTCACTGCAAGGGAGACATGGAGGGGCTGCAGGGAAGGGAGTGCAGCTGGAGCACCTGGAGGAAGGGCTGGAGAATCCTGAGGGAGCTGGGAAAGGGGCTGAGCCTGGAGAAAAGGAGGCTCAGGGGGAATTTCTGGCCTTGACAGGAGGGGACAGCCAGGGGGGATTTGGGATCTTATCCCAGAGAACAAGGACAGGAGGAGAGGGAACAGCCTCAGGCTGGGCCAGGGGATATCAGTGATGATGAGACAGACAGGGGGACTCTGAGAGATGGTCAGAAGAATCCAAATTTATTGTGGACTAAAAGTCCAAATTTATTGTGGACTACCTATGCTAATATACTATTTTAGGAAGGCTAGTAATGTTTTACTACAATGATTGAGTTAATCATCACATAAACAAACTTCAGCATTTTACAACATCTCTCGCTTGCAGAAGTCTTGATGTGATTTTCTTATCCAGTAAATCAGCCTGGTTTCATCTTCTTGCAGTCTTCAAAGCTGTTTGTTCTTGCCAAGGCATCCTGATTATCAAATCTCTTATGCCAACCAGATCCAAAGTCTTGTGTGTCCCAAAAAGGGGAGGTTTAGGCTGGAAATCAGCAGGAATTTCCTCATGGAAAATTGGGTGGTCAGGCCCAGGGAGTTCCTCAGTGTGGCAGCAGCTCTCTGGCCACAGAGAGAAACACACAACTTTCCCAAGCATTGTTCTGGGAAAGGCTGTGAGAAGATCAGAAAAAAGAATTAAAAACAATTCTGATCTTAATTTATACACTTGTTACTGTGAGCTGTGGAGTGTGTTACGGAGATTTGTTTACCACCGGGTGATTTCTTAATTAACCAGTGGTGATGGTGTTTGGATTGGAGGACCAATTAAGTCCAGCTGTACCATAACTGTCTGTGGGTTCTGTTCTTGCTTTTTCTGCCTCTGTCAGGTCAGGATGGAAGGCACTCGAGATAATTCATGTTCAGACTCTGGTGTTTATTGTTTTTTATCAGTTACAGCCTCACAGCCCTGAGTTCTGCAGTCTCTCGTTAGCAAGGCACAAAATGGCCAACTCTCTCTTGTTACAAGGTCTTTTAAGGCTAAACTATCCAATTAAGAAATGACACCTAGATCATTTTCCCTTTTAACCCAAAAACTGATCCCTCAAAGTCCACAATGTGGATTTTTCTGTCCAATTACAAAATACAAACCTAACCCATGGAGAAGAAGGAAGAAGAAGGTAAAGAAGAACAACCTGCCTGCACCCTGAAACCTCCATCTTGCTTCATATTTATTTCTGTATTCTAAAACCCCAAACTCTAAATTTTCCACCTCACTTCTGACCAACTCCATACCTTTAATCCCAGTGCTATCAATCAGTTTTGGAAATCTCTACAGCCCCAGGTCAAATTCAGTGTTCTCATGTGGGTCTGTGCCCCTCAGCACAGAAAGCCCAAAATTCTCAGAAATCCCAAAATTCTCAACATCCAGGGTTCCAACAACTGTCTACAAAAGTATGAGTTTCTTTATAAAGAAAAGTATGAGTTTCTTAATAAAGAAAAGGATCAACCTCCTGTAAATGGGTGGAGTCTCCATCAGTTATTCCCCAGGTCTGATCCCTCAGTGTTGGTGGAGATTTGACCTTGTGAAAAACGCCAATCACTTGTTGTTAAAATTTTAAAAGTTTAATAGTAATAAAATGGTTATAAAAATAGTAATATAATTAGAGTGATAAAAATTTGGACAATTAGGATTTAGGACAATACGAGACAATAAAAACAAAGAGTTAGGGACAGTCCAGGTACCTCTTTGTGGGCAAAATAAGCCTGAAAAAGGCCCCTCATTAACAGAGGATTAACCCTTAAAACCAACAGCCTGTTGCATATTCATACACATCACACATGATGCCTAAATTCTATTCAAACAAAGGATTCTGTCTGGTCAGTGTCAGCTTCTTCCTCTGCATCCTGGTGGTGTCTGCGAGGCGGGAAGAACTGGATAAGAGAGCAATAAATTCTTTTTCTCTGAAAGATTTAGGTGTCCTGTGGCTGCCATCTCGGTGCCTGTACCTTCCATAGCATAGTTTCTATTTTAACATTATGTCATAACCTAAAACCTATATTTAACACCCTCCTTAAGAAAATGAATACAGCATTTCTAACACAACACATCCGACATTCATTTTAATATTTGCGAAAAGCCACTCGCGTAACGCGCATTTTTCAAAAAAGCCGATCTCTCAGCTTTTTCCAACTCTTGGCTGTGCTTTGCCCGTGTCCCCTGCAGGTGACCAACGTGGACGACGAGGGGCACGAGCTGGGCTCGGGGGTGATGGAGCTGACGCCGCGGGAGCTGATCCTGCACACGCACAAGCGCGATGCCGTGCGGTGGCCGTACCTGTGCCTGCGGCGCTACGGCTTCGACTCCAACCTCTTCTCCTTCGAGAGCGGCCGCCGCTGCCACACCGGCCAGGGTCAGTGCGGGGACAGCGGGGACAGGGACAGGGACAGGGACAGCGGGGACAGGGACAGGGTCAGTGCGGGGACAGCGGGGACAGGGGCAGGGACAGGGACAGTGAGGGGGCAGCGGGGACAGGGACAGGGCAGCAGGGACAGGGACAGGGGGCAGCAGGGACAGGGACAGGAACAGGAACAGGGACAGTGCGGGGACAGCAGGGACAGGGACAGGGGCAGCAGGGACAGGGACAGGGACAGGGACAGTGCCTGGCCAGGGTCAGTGCGGGGACAGCAGGGACAGGGGCAATGCCGAGGGCAGTAGGGACAGAGACAGTGCCTGGCCAGGGGCAGTGTCAGGGGCAGCAGGGACAGGGGCAGGGACAGGGACAGTGCCTGAAGGGCTCCCTGGGGCAGGGACAGGGACAGGGGCAGCAGGGACAGGGCCCAGGGAAGGGACCGGGACAGGGGCAGGGTCAGTGCCAGGGACAGCGCTTGGGGCAGGGGCAGGGACAGGGACAGGGACAGGGGCAGGGCCCAGGGAAGGGGCAGGGACAGGGACGGTGCTCAGCCAGGGTCAGTCCCTGGTGGGCTCCCTGGGGGCAGCAGCGCTGAGATTTCTCTCCCCCTGATGCCTTGAGAGGCTGCCTAGAACAGAGCATGGACAGAGTTAGAGGAATAAAGTAGGGATTTGTTAAAATGTAGTGACAGTGACCCCAGAGCTGCTGGGGAAGGGCTGTCCCTGTCCCTTGTCCCTGTCACCTTGTCCCCTGTCCTACCTGCCCAAGGAACCCCTTCAAGGATGCACCTTGGGCAGTACAAGAGCCTGGCCATGGCTCCACCCAAGATGGATTCAGAGTCACGAGTTTTCACACTTTTATAAGTTTTGGTGCATTTCCATATTGGGTTCTGCAGTCCCATCCTCCCAGTTTGGTTCTGCTCAGAGCTCTGATTTGGGAACTTTGTGGCAGAGGAAAAGGAATCCCACATTTCCCTGGTGCTGTGAGCATGGAGAGGGAAGTGACTCACCCAGGAGCTGCTGCCAAGTCACAGCAGCACTGGGAATAGGCTGGGAATAGAGGAATTACAGTTTTACAGTGGTGCCTCTTGGTTCCTTCACCAGTCTGGCACTGTTGCTTTTTAAAAGAGCTGAACATTTCCTTGGCATCTGCATCTCCCTGGGAGAAAAGAATAAGTTGTTTCCTCATTCTGTTAATGTGTTTGTAAACTCCAGAAGGACTCCCGTGAGTGCTCAGGGTCTGTGTGAATCTGCACTGGCATCTGCTGCTCTTTAATGTTTATTTCAGTGGGGTTTTCCTCTCCCATCAGGGAGTTTGTCCTTGGGTTTCTGCTTTGCCTTTTGCAGGGTGAGGATCAGTGGTGAAAATTTAATCCAGGGGTAAAAGTTCTGCCCTCTGCGTGGTTTGGTTCTGTTCAGGTCCAGGCAGAGGGGATGGAGCAGAGCTCTCACATCCTGCAGAGTTTTTATCAGGCAGAAATGAGAGGGATGATGTGTTTTGTTGAGTTTTCTCCCTTCCTTGTAGGATTTTATCCTGCATATCAAGGAGCCCTCCTTGCTGATGCTGCTCCCCACCTGATGCAAGGCAGATCCAGCTGGGTTTTTATTTTTTTGGCCAGAAGGTGGAAAATGAGGATCTTTGGGAGCAGCCCTTGTTGCCAGGCTGTTCCTGTTGCCATGGCTGTGGTGTGTGCGTGTGCCAGCCTGGGATTGGCTCCTGGGCTGGGCTGCTCCTTTGGGGACAGACTCTTCAATCCCAGACATTTTTAAAAATCATTCCCATCCGTGCACAGGGAGCTTTGAGGAGTCACTGCCTGGATTTTCCCCTGGAAAGGGATGGAGGGGGTGCCAGGGGGGGTCAGATGGGAGAGGTGAGCAGTTCACCTGGCCCCCCACACCTGCGTGGGGTGGGCTGGAACAGCACTGAGGGGGTTTAAAGCCAGGCTGGGTGGAGCTCAGGGCAGCCTGGGCTTGTGGCAGTGGAACTGGATGATCTTGGAGGTCTCTTCCAACCCGTTCTATTCCATCATTTTGTGCTGTTATTTCCTGAATAATCTGTCACAACAGGACATGAAAAAACATAACGTGAACACGTTGTTTTCAAGGTAAAAAGGGAAGTTCATTTTCTGACTCCAACATTTATAGATTTCTAAAGGTGACAGTGGATTGGAGGGTGACAGTGCCTCCACTCCAATGGCACTGGAAAAACCAACAGTCCATCAAATTTCTCTTCTTCTATAAAAGAATGCAAAACAGTAAGTTACTTACAGAAAGTGTGTGAGAAAGTTTGCTACAAGAATGTAAACATCAGAAGGTTTAGAAAATCTTAAAAAATCAGGGTGACATCAACCCCCAGGGTTCTTGGTTGTTTTCCTGTGGCTTGATGGTGTTAAACAACAGCAGAATAAATCAGAATTGATATAGAAACGGGAGCAATACCTATTTTTGAATCAGGATCCCTTCCTTGCTGTTCCAACCCTCCTCTCTGTCCCTGGCAGGGATTTTTGCCTTCAAGTGCTCCCGAGCAGAGGAAATCTTCAACCTGCTGCAGGACCTGATGCAGTGCAACAGCATCAACGTGGTGGAGGAGCCCGTGGTGATCACCAGGAACAGCCACCCCTCGGAGAGGGAGCTGGCCCACAGCCCCCAGGGCCCCAGCAGTAAGGGGACAGCACAGGGGACATGGGCTGGGCTGGGTCTTGCTTTGAAAAGTCTGTTAAGGAAGGCAGGAACCTCCCTTGAAATGGAGAATGTAAACCCCCTCCCTCCTAATTATTGTAATTTTGAAATTAAGGGGCTCTCAGGGGAAGATGTGGGAGTAGGAATAACAGCTCTTTATTAGGGAAAAAATAAAATAAAAATGCAGTAATACAAATCAACCCTGGCAGAGTCAGAGCAGGAGCTGAGCCCTGTGGGTCAGGGTGGTGGCAGCAGTGCCATCCCACGGTGGCTCATCCCTCCTGCAGTGCCAGCTGTGCTTCTGCTGGAGCATTGGAATGCCTCAATTCCTGTCTCCATGAAGAATTCCTTAGATTTAAAGGAGGGCCTGGCCCTTGTGTGTGTGCTCCAGCACTGGATGGGCTGGTTTTACCTTCCAGGGTGTCCACAAGAGCCCAGCTCGCTCTGAAAGTCTAATAATTCTATTTTATACCAATTTAATGCTCCTCTGCCTTGATTCCCTCACAGGTCTGGGCTATACTGGACTTCCCAATGGATTTCACAGCTTCCCTGGAGAATCCCTGTCCTACTCTGCAGCCCAGCACCCCTCAGTGAGCAGCCTGAGACATTCCTCTGTGGGGGAAGACTCTACCCACCCCCTCCTGGGGCCTGAGGAGCAGGTAAACCCATCCTAAACTCTGCTGGGTGCACTTCTGGGTTTCCCTCACTCAAAGCTCAGGGGATCCTCACACCTTGTCACTCCTTTTATTCTCTTTATTCATGTTACTCCTGGAGGCTCCTGCTCTTTGATGCTTCACTAGAACTGGTGTTCTGTCAAAAAAATCTGAGTTCTGTCCTCACCCCACTGGTATTTGGGTGGCAGTGACCTGTCAGCTGTCACACAACCCCTAAATTCAGACCCTTTTTATTTCTGGTTTTGAGGTTCAGCTCTTTGCTTGCAGTTGTAGCATTTTTAGCATTTTTCCTACGAAACCCAGCTGGTCTGAGCCACCCCCAGGGAGGCCTGGGCAGGTGTGAGGATGGTGGGATCAGCTGTGAGCCACTCGAGGACACAGCTTGTGAGACGTGCATCGAGCATGACACAGAACCCCTGAATCACTGAGGCTGGAAAAGATTAAATCCAACCATGCCCGATCCCCCCCTGAGCACTGAGTGCCACGTCCAGGTGACACCTCCAGGGATGGGCACTCCAAACCTGCCTGGGCAGCCCCTTCCAAAGCCTGACCACCCTTTCCATGAGGAAATTCCTGCAGAAGTCCATCCATGAGGACACACAGGGTGTATCTGCAGCTGCACTCTCGTTGTCTCCCTCCCAAACCTCCAAACCTCCCAAACTTCTACACAAAACCTCCAAAAACCTTCCCAACTTCCAAAATCCTTTTCCCTCATCATCCACTGTCCGACTCCCCTCTCCTGGTGGTTTCTCAGCTGCTTTGCTCTGGTCTGTGCTGTCTCCTCCTTTCACTGTCCCTCTGCTTCTCTCCTTGCAGTCCCACACCTACGTCAACACCGGGGAGCCGGAGCCGAGGGGCCGGCACTGTATGCACTCCTTGCCTGAAGCCCACCCTCCTTTCCCCCCTAGGAACCACAGCTGCTCCCTGGAAGACCGCAACCCCCAGGTCTTCCTGCAGCCAGGGGAGGTGAAATTCGTGCTGGCTCCCAGCTCCGGCTACCGCCGGCTGTGCCGGCACCCCCGGGAATGCCAGCCTCACCTCTGCCCCCCCAACAACAACAACAACGAGTGCCAGCAGGGCTGTCCGTCCCCACAGTGCGTCTACGAGAACCTCAACGGGCTGGTGGCCCCCAGCACCTCGTCCCTGTGCCGGGCTGGCCGCTCCAAGGTGTCCCGGGAGGACGGGAGCTGCTCCCAGCGCCGCTCGGCGCTGCTGCACTACGAGAACCTGCCGGCGCTGCCGCCGCTCTGGGAGCTGCAGCCGGCCCGGCACAGGGACGAGGACGCTGGCACGGCACCCACGCCGTCCCCAAATGGCTTCTCCGAGGCCGGCGAGGAGGAGCCCCTGCAGAATTCCGCGGGCTCGGAGCCGCGCCGCGCTTTCCTGCCCAGGCCGCGGCGCAGCCGCCTGCCCAACGTCTTCAGCTTCGACTTCCCCCGGCCCTGCCCGGAGCCTCCACGGCAGCTCAACTACATCCAGGTGGAGCTGGAGCCCGAGCCCTGCAAGGGACAGCAGGAGCCGCGGGTGGCACCTCCTGCCAGCCCCGGTGCCCGCCGCACCGACTCCTACGCCGTCATCGACCTCAAAAAGACGGCGGCCATGTCCAGCCTGCAGCGGGCCCTGCCCAGGGACGATGGCACCTCGAGGAAAACTCGGCACAACAGCACTGACCTGCCCCTGTGAGGGCCCCAAGTGCCAGCCCCGTGTCGTGGCTTTGGTCCCTGCCCCTCGCTGTGTCCTGCCCCCCCTGAGTGTGGCTCCCATTGCCCTTCCCTGTTTGTCACTGCCGGGGCCCAGCGTGGCTCCTGCAGCTGCTGCTGTTGAGGCTCGTCCGTCTGTCCGTCCTCCCCTCTCTGTGTTGCTCGTTTTTCAAGCCTTGTGGGATGTTCGGTGACTCTGAGGGTTGAATTCTGGGCGGGAGGGAGGTGGCACAGCCTGGGGTGGGCAGGGCAGAGCCAGCCGGGCAGTGCCTCGGGGAGTGCTCCCAAAACCGAGCTGCTTCAGGAGCTCTGTGCAAATGGAGCCCGTTCCCCGTGGATTTCACATCTCCGGGAGAGCTCTGCGCTGAGGCCGCTCCAGAGCTGGGGTTTGCCTTGTGGTTCCAGTGGTGCCTGGAGATGAGGGAGCTCACGCCGTGGCCTTTCCCCCCTCAGCTCACTGTTTGTTCCTGAAGCTTTTTATCCTTCTGTCCCTGTCTCAGATCCAATTTCAATTGGGCAGCTGCAATGAAACCAGGAGGACACAGAGCCATGGGCACACACTGTGATCACAGAAACCTGATTGCCTAAACCCTTAAATTCCCTCCCCTGCTTTAGAAGAGGAGGGAAAGGCCACAACCATGAGGGAGATTGGAAGTTTGGTCTAGAAAACTTCACTTGTGCCATACCCTGCTTTGTTTTTTAACGAGGGTTCTATTTGGCAGCCGCTGAGAAGTGCTGTGGGTTTATTTATTTGTTTACTTATTTATTTATGAGCTGCTCCTTTGCATCCCAGTTCCTTGCCAAACTGGTGCCAGTCTGCAGCGCGCGCTCGCCGGGGCTCGCTCCTGCCTGGGGGGACAGCTCCCAAAAAGAGCTCGGTGGCTTTGCTGAGCCACCAGCTGGGGGAAAAACACTGTGGAGGAGAGCAGCTGGGAATGAAGAATGTATGAACCGGGGGCTGACTGTCACGGGGTGGGTGGGAAATGGAATGGGAGACGTGGGAGTGGGAGCAGAGCCGCCGGGCAGCCGAGCCTGGAGCGGCATCAAAGCCGCTGCTACACCCACGTGCCTCAGCTCCGTGTCAGGAGTGAATGTGCAGTTTGTTCTCTCAACTACGGACCTGGAAGGGCTCAAATTCCGGGTGCATTCGTGGCCTTTTGCTGTGGATTTTTGTCTCGATGCCGGGGTGGCGCTGAGCCGCCCCGGGACGTCCCCTCGTCCCTCCCCGCGGGACACGCGGTGGCTCAGCCTTTCCCTGGATTTCTCTGTGCCTGTTCCGATGGAGAGCAGTGCTCTGGGATCCTCTGGGGTGCTCTGGGATCCTCTGGGATCCTCTGGGGTGCTCTGGGATCCTCTGGGGTGCTCTGGGATTCTCTGGGATCCTCTGGGGTGCTCTTGGATCCTCTGGTATCCTCTGGGTTTCTCTGGGATGCTCTGGAATTCTCTGGGATGCTCTGGGATGCTCTGGAATTCTCTGGGTTGCTCTGGGATGCTCTGGCATGCCCTGGATGCCCACCTCCCTGCTGGCTGTGTCCGTGTTCCTGCTGGGACAGGAGCTGGCTGCAGTGCCAGGCCTCGTGTCCCCCTCGTCCTTCGATGTTTCCCGCTGTTGCCATCCGTGGAAGAGGAAAGATCCCCATCCCCCAGCTCCAGGGGTTCCAGGTTTTGGAAGTTCAGCCTTTTTTTTGGTTTTTGGTGCTGTCGTGTCCTGTTGAGCCGTGACCCTGTTGGGAGCAAGGCCACGTGTCCCAAGTCTGAGTGGTGCCATGTTTGTGTCGCAGAGCGTGGAGTTCTTGGCTTGCTGTTGCACTATAAATTCCAAGTGTGCCACATGCTTCAATCCACTGGTTTTTCTTTTCTTTTTGGAAGTCCTTGTGCTCGTCTTCCATTCTTTTGTCCGTCCCTTGTGTCCCCCTGTAACTGAAAGGAGACCCAAGTAATCTATTTTTATATGTATAACAAATGACTTTATTTGAAGGAAAAAAAAAACAAAACAACAACCCCCACCCCAAGTAATGTATCCCCCTAAATCCAGCTTTCATTTAGGGAAGTGAGAGAAGAAATTGTTTATATCTATCTATCTATATATATATATATATAAAAGTCAACTGCATTAAGCTTTAAATAAAGTATTTAAATAAAGTTTCTAAGCTGTCAGTGTCACCCTGTGGGACAGCACAATTCCCTCTGGAGCCTCTGTATTAATTAATAATATTAATATAATTATTAATAATTAATATAATATTTTGTATTACCTGCTGGAAATACAAAATCCTTTCCCTTTTTTCCCAGAAAAGAGGATGAAATGTTTTCCATTCCCACGGAGGAGGCAGCGAGGGCCCTTTCCAGGGGGGTTAAATCCAGGGAAGTGCTGGGGTGGGCTCTTTGTGCCTTGGGTGGCAGCAGCTCGGGGCTGGGGCTGTCCTTGGCTGCTGCTCAGAGCCACCAGCGTGGCCACGTGTCCCTGAGGGTGGCACGGAAGGGTCTGTGAGCTCCTGGAATCAGGGAATTCCCCTGCAGTGCCGTTTTTGGGCTTCTTTTTTCTCCCTCTCGTCGAGGTTGGGATTGAAGGCGCTTGAGATGATGGTTTGTGTTCAGGTCAGATGCAGTGCTCCCCTGGGAGTCAGGGTCTGTCAGCACAGAAAATCCAAAATTCTCAGCATCCAGAACTCCAACCCTGGAGCTCCTTAAAAAATCTGGCAAAAAAATCCCATTTTGGTGGCTCCAGGAGAGCTTTGTGTTGGGAAATCCGCCTGGGATCTCTCCAGCTGCTGCTTTTCACCTGCTCCAGGTGCTCAGGGCTGTCCCACCTGTGTGTCCCCTCCCTGGCTGACCCAGGGCTGCCACAGGAGCGGTGACAAGTGACAATGTGCTCACCTGCTTATCCTGGAGGGTGCTGTCCCTCTTCCAGGAAGAAGAAGAATTCCATGGGCTTTGAGGATGAGGAAGGATGGAGCTGAAGGCAGCTGCGCATCCCAGCGTGGGGCATCCCCTGCTCCGTGTGCCCTCGTGTCCCCTCGTGTCCCCTCCCCGTGGCCCTGCTGGCTCAGCAGGCTGAGCTCCAGCTCCATCCCAACCCCCGGGAAGCTTTGGGGATTCAGAGCCGCTCCCATCCCATGGTTTGTTGTGAGTTGTTCCGTGCTGGAGCCATTAAATGGGAATTGTGGTGCCAGGATGGAGCTGCGGGATTTCAGGGTTCTCATCCCGGTGATTTTCCCTCTTTTTTGGGAAACTTCCCCAGAGCTGTGCCCGCACTGAGCACCAGACCCTTTGAGAAATCCGCAATGTTCGTTTTTCCAGTGGGGTTTTTTTCCAGGGGAGGGTTTGGGGCTGCCCCGCGGTCCCCGCAGCTCGGGTGACACATTTGGGATTGTCCCAGCGCAGTGTCGCAGCTTCCTCTAGTGGCCGTGGGGAAACGCTTCCAGAGGAGGATCCGGGCTGGGATTGGGAAGTGAGGAAGGAATTCCTCCAGTTCCTTCAAGGAATTCTTCTTCCTTCCTTCAAGGAGACATCAAATCCGTGTGCTCTCATCCCTTCTGTTCTGTGATTTGGGGTCGGTTTTTCCCTGTGGCTGTTTTATTCGGGTTGGGAATGTTTCCCCAATCTGTTGTGTGCTTATGGAACCCTGTAAAGGTGGATTTTATGGATTTTCCTTTGGGTCTGACACCTTCTGCTGGGCTTTCCCCACGGATGCACAGCAGCAGGTGCTGCTGGCTTGGATGGGAAACTGTGATCCCTCCTGTGATCCCTCCAGCCATGGAATATCCTCCCACTCCTCAGCAGAATCCTCACCTTGGACGCACCCACAAATCTGCCTTTGGCTTTCAGGGATCCATCCTGGGCTCTGTGCATCCGGCTGGAACAGCTGGGTGGGAAAAACCCTCCCAAACCTGCTCTGGGGGCTGTCCCTGGAGCTGAGGGGACGCCCTGAGCTCTCCTCCTCCCTGTCCCAAGCTCAGATGGTTCAGCTTTTGGCAACTGGAAAATTGAGGAAGGAGCTGCTCCAGTGAAATGTTTTGCTGAGACTTTGGCTCTCAGAAAGGGTTTAGGCAGCAAAATGAGGGGAATTTGGGTGGTGCTGAGCCCTGGGGGTGGGAGCTGGGCTGGAGGTTCCAGTGCTTGGCTGGGGACTGGCTCTGTGTGACCCACTGGGGACAGACCTGGCCTTGCTGGGCTCCTTCCTCCACCTGGAATTGTAATTTTGGGATGTCTCGTGAGCAGCCATGGCTGAGCAGAGGGAATGTCACTGCCTTGGCCTTTTAAAGTGGTTCTTGTTTGAGTCTGAGTTAATCCATCCGATTTCTCCCCCTGGTGTTTCCTCCCTGCTGAGGGCACAGACAGATCTTCCCCCTCCCAGGAAGGGACAGGACAGGAGCAGAGCCTCCCACTGACAGGAACAGAGCTTCTCCCAGAGCTCCACTGTCTCATCTGGGAGGGTTTTTTCTCTTCTAACCCATTTCAGGTGCCTGCTTTTCCCTCAGGGAAGGAGAATGGAATCCCTGTGAGCTCTGCCTGCCTTACAGGGAGGGGAAGGGGAGGTGCTGAAGGTTAAAGGATCATTATTTCTGCTAATCTGTTTGCTATTTCTGAGGAATTCTTGTTTTTCTTGCCTCAGCTGTGCTGTTTACTGACAGAAAACCCAAACCAGGTGTGGCATTTCCAGCTCCCTGTTTTCTCATTGTCTCCCTGTGTGACTCTGCTCAGCCCTCTCAAATGAAGGATCATTAATGAATGATTGTTAATGAACCCATTTCCTAATTCCAGGCCCTGGGAAGGCTGCCCTCAGATTTTCTGGGAATTCTGTCCTTTCCCCAAACTTGGCTGGTCTGGAAATGCTGCTCACAGGCAGCAGAACAGGTTTGGGTTCCTGTTGCTGGAGGTGAATTCATTAGTGAGAGCCCTGGCAGCTTTGAAGTTGGCAATTACAGGCCAGGGGATGGAAAAGGCTCCTTCTAAAGATGGGATCTAATTTGTTTTCCTTCCCTGAGTGAATGGGATTTTTCCAGCTGAAAGGCCCAGATGCTTCAGTGTCACCTCAAGCTCCTCCTGTCATTGTCACCTGTGCTGGTGCCTTGGCCAGGGAACATTTCTGGTGGGGCAGAGAAGCAAAGGTGCTCTGGGGGCTGAGCTGCTCTGAGCCAGGGGCTGCTGTGCAGTTGTTCCTGCGGGTAATTCCCAGGGAAATTCAGGCAGTGCCTCTCTGAAGGACAGCTCTGGAGCTGAGGAGAGATCCTGGTTTGCCCTGAAGTGTGGAACTGAACAGAATAAATGGAATGAGGTGGTTGTCCCTGCTGGTGACCCATGGGGAGACCTTTTCAAGACAGTTCCTGGTGCTGCTTCCCCTCTGTCAGTTTGAAGCCATTTCCCTCATCCTGTCTCTCCATCCCCTTGTCCAAAATCCCTCTCCAGCTCCCTTAGGGCCCCTTTAGGTTTTGATCATCAAGAAGTGGCTGATCCTCACCAGGTTTGGGAATTTAAATGCCTAACCTGGAGCCCAACCATGTATTTACAGTTTGTTTACCCATCTTTTGCTCACAGGAAAAAGAGGAATCGTTATTTTGATGTGCAGGAAGCTGTCCCTGTGTACTGTGACCTCTGTTTTGGAAACAAAACACTAAAAGCAGCTCGTGAAGGATCCGAGTGCCTGTGTGGGTTCATAAACACAGCTGCTCCGGGGGCAGAGAATCCCAGCCTGGTTTGGGTTGGAAGAGACTTAAAAATCATCTCATTCCACCCCTGCCATGGGCAGGGGCACCTCCCACTATCCCAGGTTGCTCCAAGCCCCATCCAACCTGGCCTGGGACAATTCCAGGCATCCAGGGGCAGCCACAGCTTCCCTGGGAATTCCACCAGCCCCTCCCCACCCTCACAGGGAAAATTCCTTCCTAATATCCAGCCTAAATTTCCTCTCTTTCAGCCTGAACCCACTCCCCCTTGTCCCTCACTCCAGTTCCTGGTGAGCAGCCCCTCTCCAGCCCCGTGCAGCCCCTCCAGGTCCTGGAAGGGGCCGTGAGGTCTCCACAGAACCTGCCCTGCTCCAGCTTCCAGGGGCTCCCCTTGAGTGCTGGGCCACAGAATCCCGGGAAAGGCATGGAGAGGTGGAATTCCCTGAGCTGGAGCTGGGCCACCAAGCCAACACAGAAGAGAAACCGAAAGCAAAGCAGAGGGAATGGCCAGAGCCTGGCCCCGAGGGAGATCCTGGAGGTGTCATCCCTGCTCCGTGAGGGATCACCCCATCTCTGCTGCTGGAAACCCTAAATCCATAATTCCTGCTGGAGCACCTCCCTCAGGTGCCTTTCCCAAGAGGTCTCCTGCTTGGATTTGGGGTGCAAGCAGTCTGGAAAGTATCTGGGTAACAGCGCCTTTGCCAGAAAATATTTTGGTTATTTCAAAAAAGCTTTGGTTTGTTTGCTAGAAAATATTTAGGTGGTGACCTAACCCATTTTGGTCCATTTTCTAAAGAATATTTGGG